GTTTCTTTGGTTTCCTATTTCATGTTTTATATTTTATTTTCAAAATGTATTATTTTCAGTAAATAATTAATTGCAATAATTAAATTTGTGATTCTGGATAATAATATGTTATCATTATATGAAAAATATACAACTTAATCAATTAATATAAAGAAGAACTAAATACCAAAATAAACCATACAATTAATATTTTGGTGTATAGTAAATCCATACTGATAGAAGCTGCAGTATGCGAGGTATTAATCTATATCTAATAAATATAAATATTTTCACTAACATAATATATAATTTGTTATTTTTATAATTTAATGAAGAAACTATTTATATTCTTCCTCGATACGATAGTAGCTAGATAATGTGACTTTCAGTGTGTTACTTCGTATTTAATTTCGCATTGTCTGTTTTCTTTTCTTTCGATAATTCACTATACGAAATAAGTATATATGATAATAATATGATCACTTAGCAGTATTAGTAACTGTTAGGATTTCGTCGCAACTAGCCAAACACATTCAAAAGCATTAATGTAGTTTATCGTCTTTATTTTACTAAAGTGACATTTTAATTATGGGTACGCAACAACTCGGCGACTGACAATAATAATAATAATTTTTTAGCCATATAATAGAACATAAAATAAATTTGATGTATATAAAAAATAAAATGAAAATAATTATAAAAATTCCATAATAAAACAAAATATCTAAAGATTCTTCATATTTGAGTTTATTTTTAATTTTTTATAGAAAATTGAATTTTGTTTTTTATATATATCAAATATATGTTATGTTCTATTATTTGGCTCTTAAATTATTGTTATTATCATAAGCGAATATGTTAAAATTTTATTTTAAAGTGTCAATCGCCGAGTTATACAGAGAGACAAATAAAACATTATTGATTAGTATTCAAAGAACTATTGCACCAAACGTTTAATTAAGTAAACTTATTTACTTATATTCTGTCAATGTCGTAAATAGACAGTAACTTCATATATATTAATAAACATCAAACAATTCTAGAGTTGATTTGTATGTAGTAATGTAAAGTGATTCTTGCAAAGGTTCCTTTAAAAATTATACAGTTGACGAATACGAGATCCCTCATTTCTATAGTATTAAAAACTTGTCTTCAGTTAGAGTGTCAATTGTGAAGGAAGAAATCAATATATTAAGTATATACAACAATAAATAGTTCTAAACTTTAACAAGTGTACAAATATTATAAGTTGACTTTTTAAATAAAAGGTTGGCGTTTGGAAACGTGATTTTATTATTTTCATGTAACAAACTAAGAATGGTAATGTGGTAATGGTATTTCATGGCGGAGGTTTTTAAATATACATTAGATGTGGAGCCCGAGATGATTATTGCATTGTATTGGAAGTTATTTTCTCATGATTGTGTTGGGAGTTAACAGCAATAGCAGCAGCAACAGCAGGAGAGGAAGAGGCAAGCGAGGATGATGGGAGATGTATCTGGTGCAAATCCCATCATTGTTGTAGTATGCAAGGGAACGACATACGGCAGATATGGATTTGAGTAATTGGCTCGGATAAAATAAATAGAGATGCTTTGAATGAACGGTTTGAGCAGTCGATGATTGCGATTGTATTTATTGATTGTTTTTGTTTTGGATCTGGAGAGAAAGTGTTTGTATTACCAAATTTGAGTTATGGGTATATGGGTATGGGTTTGGGTTTGTAGTGACTGTGTAGTGGCCGGAGTGGCGAGTGTTATTAGTCATCAAGCACAGGTGCAACGTCCGCTCGTTTGAACAACAGGTGAGGGAAGGGGAGTTGCCGTTCGTTCTACCTGTTGTGGTGTGCCGACCATCAGCTCGAAGTTAGTCAGTTCTCGAGTGTCTTTCAGTGCAGTCCATCGTCCAGCGAAACAAAAAAAGTATATTCAATATATATATACAGACACACACACCGCACTCCAATACCAACAAAAAGAACTCGTCCATTTAAACCTCAGTACCGGATGATTCGCTCACCTGCGAATGGCACTGGAAGAATTCACGGGTTCCACATTTACTAATCCCGTGGTCTTTGAGTGCCATCCCCAGAGTCGAGTCCAGAACCACACATCCGATTGCCGCTGGTGACGTCGCAGAAACAAATCAAATCATAAGAAATAGAGAGACAGAGAGGAGAAAACATTCAGAATTTTTCCAATCGTCTTAACTGAGTGAGTGATCAGGAGGACTAAAAGCATGGATGGAGGAGGACCATAGCAAACAGTAATGTAACCAATAGAAACATAATCCCAAGGTAGTAATATTTGCCAGCTACTCCAGAGTGGTGTGCTGAATTGTTCCTTCGGTTCGTCGAACGTAACTGTACAAACACATTCACACTTACAAAACAGAAAGCCATCTAGCACTAACTCCTTTTACCAACTCTCCGTTGTACATTCTCTTCTAACCCGAACCGGGTGCCAGCGTGCACGAACAATGCGAAAATTAGAAACGCGCCTTTGACCACTCTTTTTCCCAATATTATATACTATTATTATTATTGTTGTTGATATGTTCATTATTATCATTGTTCATGTGTATGTGTTGTTGTTGCCTATCTTCCCCACCGACAATAACAATTACCAAACACGCGATTGCCAACCTTCAAACGCCTTTCAGTTTTGAAACAAAAGGGTACCCAGCTCAAGGTAAACCCAAAAATAACTAGGTTCAGGTGATAAAGCAATGCTGCTGCTATTTCGTATCTTTTTCCTGTTCATTGTGTGCGTGTCCGTGGCGAACGTAGATTTCCTCGCGCGTTTCACGGCTGATCATCCAACCGGTGTGTATCATAGATCTGGCTAAGTTTTGCCGGTCCTTTGTTCGACAAAGGCAGTGGCGGCAGCGACGGAGGCGGTGGCAGTGGCAGCAGCGGCAACGGCGGCGGTCAAATGTGCACTCGTGCGCGTCAATAGAACACCGCGCTCTTCGTCACATTCCATCCGCGACAAAGCAGCGCAACAGCTATAGCCACGGAAAAATAGCATTAAATATCAGCAGAAAAACAACATTGAATTATTATATAACATTCAGGAACTGGAGACGAGAATAGATGGAATGGGAAAAAATGCTTATAGTACACGGACTTCAATTATTACAATTACATAATAAATATATTTTTTTCGTTCTTACCGCTTCGTACTTGCGTTACATTCTAATTATTAATTTAGGATAGAGAGGAAAAAAAAAATCGTTTAGAAAGTTTCGAATTAAAACGTGACATGCAATTTTTTTCTGAAATTACACTGATCGCAAGAGATAGATGGCGACGTAAAGGAGAGGCAATTTAGATTCATGGATTAATTGAATCCTCCGCACGGGAATCGATCCTCGTGTCCGTGTGTACGTATACATCTATATATGTATGTATGACACCACCGCACCTGCGATGCATACCACCCGTATACAGGGTGTGTTCTAAAATGTCAAATGACAATAACAGCTGCCGAGGGGCAGATCATTGATTACCCACTTGTCACTCAATGCAGCCAGTCTGCACAACGTCTAATTCATTCTTTAGGTTTCCATATTAACAACATTCCAATTAATTGTATCCTCTAACATGCTTTAGTTTAGTAGGAGTCGGGTCAATTTATTATTACAAATATTACATTTTTTAAATTGCTTAATTCTTTGTTAATATCTTAATTATCAATAACACATTAATATTGCCGTCCTTCGTACACTTCTTAATTATTTTACAGAAATTTAATATAGTATTTTAATGGATCGCCGATGATACCGTTTGTCATACTGTATTATAATAATAAGATGACTTGCTAGATTAATAAGTATAAGTAATATTGTTGAAATATATTCTCAAAATATATAGCTACAACACAGTTTTATAAATTTAATAAAGTAATTAACTATTTACATTCACTAACTGATTTACATTTGAAATTATTTCACTATAAAATAATATATACTACATATTTATTTTAAGTTTTAATTTGATTCCAATATCCTTTTAATACAATTGACTACATTATATATTCAATACGTTTGCTAATAAAAGTATTGAATATAAAATAGATCTAATTTTGTATATTATACAATGAATGAATTTTGATACATTATTGAATAATAAATATGCACCGATTTGGTCTAACCTATAATTGTATCAATTAAATATCTACTAATTAAGCCAGCTCTAATTAAAAAAATAAACTCAACATGAGCTGAGTATCTGTAAAATCAACCATCAACGAACCGAAAATATGTAATTATTTCCCCATTTATTGATCAATCTGGATGCTAGAAAAGGCGTATATCCATAGAAATAATCAAATCGGAGGCATTAATTTAAATAATTACATCCACTTCCGCCGAAACCAAATTTTAAATGCCGAAACATGATAATCTGCTATTTTATTACGATAACATTTCCGTTTCCACCTGTGATTCTTTGTGTACATTGTTGCCAGTTTGACGTAGTATGACGTAGTTATAATGTTATAATTGGGGTAACTTCTTGCTTCGAATTATATTCGTGCGAATAAAAGAGAATAAGTGCTGATCTCAATCGCACATTAGGTAAACATGCAACGAATAAATAAATAACACTGATTATGAAAGAATGAATTAATATGTGTATATATATATATAACAGTTTAAATGTCATACCTCTATTATGATAACCGAAATTGCTTTTGCTAGGTTGCCGTTCGAGTGTATTTTGTTGTATTTTTTCGTCCTGTAAATATATATATATAATCTGTTTTGTAATATAGAACGAGTTCTGATTGATGTTCTTGGCATTGGAGTGTAATGTTCCGCTTGGGTCAGCATGTCCGGGAAGTCATGACCGGTTCCGCATGGTTGCGGCGCTCAGTTCGCTCTCACTTCAACTCATACAGGTACCAAAGTAAGTATATCAAAGCAGGTACAGGTCGCACACAGGTACGCCACTGACCGTATCATCATGTCATTACGGTCACATACCAAACATCTCTATTATTATCATCATCAATTCACAATTTCATACATTTATTGCGCTCTCCGATCCATAATCGGACAAAAATTCCACTTTATTTGTTTCCAATTCACAAACAAATATATTATAATATACATACATACACATATATTGTAACCCTAAATGTATTTTGTATGATTAATGAAATGAATTCTATTATATTAGGTTTTCCTTTGCTTCAATGCTGGCAATATTATCAAGATTGTCCTGAGGTAGTGCGATGTAATGGCATTCTTCTTCCCTACGGACGACCATCTCGGATTTGTGGACCTCTCCACCCATCTGTGCTAGCATCGTTTCACTCCAGCGATACGGAACTGCTTTTGTCTTCACGGCAAAACAGGAAATCGATCGTAAACATTGTCAATTTCAATCAAATTGTACTTACCTGACAGTATACACTCTCGAAGTATTTCTTTTTCCTGGACCCTAGCTTAACAATCACCGTCTCTGAATATTTGATTGGGATTGCCTTTGATTGGAAATAGCACTTAGATATATAACTACAAACAGAACATTAATAGTTTAAATATGACAAGTATTATCTGTTATCATAGTAAAGAATTTTTTTCTAAATGTTTACTGCCTTTTTTTTTCTAGGATTATTTCGTAGAAAAAAAAATGAGGGTGGTTTACGTCTTTTTACACAAGCGGTAACAAACTTTCAAATAACATTGATCTTAAGCAATGTAAAAAAAAGTAAAGTTTTCAAATTTAGAGTTTTTATTTCCTTTATTTAAAAATACGAATGTAAATATTAATTAAGTCTAACGAAGCTAATTGTAATTAATAATTTTCTAACTATGGATATTATAATTAACCAAATAGACATATAATCTTCTATGGATCGGCGAAAATGAGAGAAATATTTCTCGGACCGGTTAACGTTTAAGATAATAAATAAAAAGCAATGTAGACAGTATTATTAAATTGATTCAATAATTTTATAACAATAAATTATAAAAAAAATCATTTTTCGAAAAATTGGACCTAAATCACATTCGAAAAAGAAATTGAAGTATACTGGTTTAAACTTCTAGCACTAACAAGTGACAGAAGCAAAGTTTTCCAAAACGATAATTTCATGCATATTCAATCTAAACATAAAGAAGATTTTACTACATTTTTTCAGACGATAGGTCGTACTGAAAATAACCAAAATTGGTGAAAACAATATAAGAATATTCGTAATATCATTTATCATTATTATAATAATTATAAGTAGATTTGACTACGCATTTAGCTCTTGAAATAAAATCTATGCAATATGTTTAGGAATTGAAAATAATATTTTCTAAATTAAAATATGGACAGAATCAAGAAATATGAAGTATGAAGTTTTTATTATTAATAAGATTTAGACAATATTATTTTTGTTTTGTGAATATGTTAGTTAAAATTTATTATTTCCTTCTTTAATCTGTCTGACTAATTGCGGCAAACTTAATTTGGATTATCATATTTTTTTAAATTATTATGATTCATTTATATCATATTATATTGTAAATATCCGTAAAATAAAATTAAAAGAATTTTGTTGTACCCGTATCCAATATTTATTTTCTGATATTTCCATATATTTTTTATCTAGACGAATTTATATTTTTAGTATCGAAAATGTTATTGTTTTTGATATTGATTGCTTTGCGATATTTCATATTTTACAATGCAATTTTTTTCTAATAACGTAAAATGAATTAAATAATTATTCAATATAAATATTATACTTTTCTTCAAGCAATGATCAAATAAAGTGGTTAATTGTTAAAATGATATTATCTAATGTCTGATGTCGTGATTTTTCAATACATTTACTATTTTATTATTCTGAAGTGAAATTGTTAAAACTCGTAAACTATTTATAAAGTAGAGACTTCGACTATGCATTATTTATTTCATGAATCATCGTTTAGTGTATGTATTTATAAATATTAGCAACAATTTTTGCTTACGTTTTGGATCCGATCGGAAGAACGGAATTTCCATTTTGATCTTGCCCCATAGTTCCACCGGCAAAATTCCTCCTAAAATTAAGAATAATCAAACTTTGTCATACAATAATGAGAGATCTATAAACATGTACACTCGGACAGGCCTATCGATAGTCTCGATAGAAAAATTCTCCGAGATTTTACGAATTTTCGCTGGTAAATATTTTTCGCACATTTTGCAAAACAGAAATGATTGACTAAGGGTATAATACTAAATTTTAATAAGATATGAAGACACTTACTCGTTTTTTTTACTTTTTTGTATGTATGTATTATGAATTTTTTTTGATACCGTTAGTTTGTCGAAGAGTAGACAAAGGCGCGCATTCAAAAACTGTACGTGCTGTGAGTTAGTGCTTCGTAGCTTCGTACTCAGACGCGTCGAACGTTCGCTTCATTAGCAATTCCACAAGTAAACGATTCGTAATGAAATGAACTCATATGAGTAATCTTATCAATAGGAGGAAGGTCATATAATAATCTTGCATACATAATGTTTACATTTTAAATAATATTTAATATTTAAGTTGTATGCAATACAACACACTCATACAAGTTTATTTTCCTTGTGTGAAGTACGAACAGTTGCATACTACAATATGTTATAATGTAATTTATTATAATAATATCCATGCTTCCCCCCCTGACCAAAGTAACGTAAGCCAGTGTAACGAAATCTCAAATTAATAAAGACAATGGCTGGCGAAATTGTGCAAGACGCGCAAGCCAAGTGAAGTGTGGAGAAAAAAAGAAGAAGATATTAATATCATTTTATATTATCAGCATATATGTATGTGGTCTAGATTATATTGTGGTAAATTCAATTCGACTGAAATGAAAACACACTTTGCATTCACAATTTATTGTCTTAAAAGAAATATCTAATACTTACTCAGTAGTGTCTATGTAGTCTCAGTAGTGTCATTCGTAGCATCACACAAGTATTAGAAAGTATAAATAATCTATTTAATAACAGCCATTCATAAAGTTATTTTTATTGATAATATTTAAATGTAACAGTTTAGAAATATTGAATGTAATAGTTTTTATATATCATAGATAAATTGAAATTCTAATGCTACCTGGAAGTTTCACTTATTTAAAACAAACACAGAGGAGACTGGTTATAAAGCCTACAAGGCGTTTGGTCGACCTTTTCTTAAGCATAAACTTATTTGACCGACCATCAAAAATACAACCACAAGGACATCTGAAGAAATCGTAATATTATTCTACGTTCCTGTGACTAACCTCGACTTTACATATCTTAGCTAACACGTCTATATTTTAGTTTACTAATCTTTCATTGAAAATTGTGAATCAGCGGATATATGTAAAACATTTATTATAATTTAAAAAAAATACTCAAAAAAATATATATAACATTATATATTAACGGAATCTTTGCGGAGGTCTGTTTTATATTGTTGTTAATAAACAAAAAGCGTATATAGTTTGTTTATATGCTTTTGCATAAACAAAGATGACAAAAAATCGAAGATCTAAAGATAATCAAGGTCTAAAGATAAAATATACATAATATATACACAAGTTTGGAAAATGATGTAGCAGGCGAACAATCCATTATTTCTATTCTCATCACTCGTTGTGCGAAATGTCGCTCGTTAAAAGAGTATTTTTTGTTACAATTTGTTGTGTTTGTTAAGCGAAATTATCGTTATGCGAGGTTCTACTGTATTATAACCAGAAAAGTTTACGGTTATGTTACAAGTAAATGTTAATCGTTCCAGATTCGATTTCGGTTCGTCAAAAAATCAGTTCAGTTCCGGTTCAGTTACGGTCAAAATTAAAATTTAAAATCAAAAAAATATAATAGTTAAAGTTAAAATCGAGTTGACCATCAAATACACCGGTATAAATATTAGCACCGGCATACTACCATCAAAGTTTTTTTAATCGCAAAACAAAAATTTGAAAAACTTCCGAATGATACTGTTATGTATAACCGTTATTGTTTATATTATGTTAGCCCTTATTATTTTATACATGTTTATTTATGTAAGTCATTAAGACTTAGAACAAATACCACTTAAGAAGATCCCATAACTAATCATTGTGTAACGACTATTCTTAATCACCATTGTTAGTCAACATGTTGTGCACAAACTCAAAGGTCCAATCAATAATGACCTTTAATATGTACATCTGCCTAATGACTTAATTAGTTAGGTACTATCTTCCCTTACCAAATATTGTACTCCCACTATGTTAATTCCCTACTATAAAATAGGATGTTTATGTTATACCAAGTCAGTTTGAGAGTAAGTCTTAGAAGGGCAACCCAAGCTACGAGTTATTAGCTGGAAGCTAGTTTAAGAACTTATATTTACAGTGTTAAAATATATTAATTGTGTTCATTGACTTTTGTCTAAGCCTTTCACTAAAACCCTCTACAGACTCCACAACTACAGAAATATAAGAAGATCCACTGTGTCCAAATTCCATCCCCGGGATATGACAATACCGAATTCAGACGAAAATTCTTCTTTTGTATCTACCGTCATATTTTTTATACCTACTGTTTTGTGATTAAAATGAAATGTCTGGAAGTATGATAATATCTACATGGAGCATACATGAAAACGATTAATGAAAAAACAATTAACCGAAACTATCCGTTATTAAAATTTCGTTCCGGTTTCAGTTTCGGTTTTTTAATAATTAATTTAATTTTAATTTTCGGTTACAGTTGAAAATTCTGGTTTCGCATTTTATCTATTGACGATCGACCGTGTGTAAAGTTTTTACAATGTTATAAAATAAAAATGATTTATTTCTTAAAATAATATTGGTTTTAATTTGGATCTATATATTTCTGTCTGAGTGTACAATTTTTATTCTTAACAAGTAAATTTAATATTTAATATTTATTTAATAATATTTAATATTTCTTTGAAATAGTTACTTCGAAAGCTTAACTAAGACTATATCTTAGGATTTTATGAGACTATGCTCGTTATATTAACGTTTTACTGAGACTAATTCTAAATACTTATATTACTTACGATGTTAATTCTTATTAATACAGGGTGGGAGTTGTGATCGGGAGTAGGGTTTGATTATATTGATGACTAAGCGTTCCCACGGGAATCGGCTTCGGTGGTTTTGTTTATTATAAGACCGGGACAAATTGCTATGCATTTGTTTATATGAAAAAGTGAATATCGAGGAAAAGTGCTGGTGAGTAGAATCTGGAGTTGATGTTGTTGATTAGCTGGGTGGACAGGTTCAGTATAGCGTATTGAGTTGAGGTGTGTTTGGTGAAGCCATATTGATGTTGTGGAATGATGTGGTGTGATTGAGGATCCTTTTGTGTATTAGATTTTCAAGCAGTTATTTCCAAGACCGGCAGTAAAGAGATGGGTCGGTATGATTCCGGTGAAGTAAGATCTTTTCCTGGTTTGGGGATCATGAGGATGTTGACACGCTTCCAGTCACCAGGAAAGTATCAAACAGGGACCAGAACTTGGATTCATTTCTGTGGTCGAGGGAGCTGGTGACCTCAGTCCAGGACCTCTCACGATGTTCAGAGACCCTCCTTCTGACCAGCGCAGCAAGACGATTGAACTCAGTACGTAGTGTAGGATCACCATTCCTTTTAATATTTCTGTTGTGGGAGACGAGGAGGGCGATGCGTGGAGATTATTACAGGAACATTATTTTCGATGGAGTCGTTGCTGGTGTTATTAAGTTTGGATACAGCTAGGTCAACGTCTTCTGTGGAACGTAGTATTCCGAGAGGGGTTGTAGTGTTATCACTGATATGGGAGGCGAAGTCTGCCCAGTTACCATGCCTCCAATCTCGAATTCGTTTGACAAGCAGCGGGTCTGGTAGAGCGGCAGCGATGGCGACTACTGGAAGGTGGTTGCTTGCCACTGGTGTACCAACGATAGCCTCTGGTTCGAGGTCCTCCGTGACGATGATGTGGGATTTGGGCATCGGATCCGGATTAAGGCGCATTCGATGAGGACTCTGGTCAGACTTACACCGTTTGTGTTTGATCGCGTGTCTTCAAAGTCGCTTTGTTTATATTAAAGTGTATCGAACTGGAATCACGGTAGAGATTCCTTTATGCTAATGTTTATGTTTATATAATAATGCGACTTTAATGCCTTGCCTTGGATGTCTCTAGTTCGTTAATACACTATATTAATAATAACAATTACAATAATAATGGTTGGACACAACAATATATACAAGTCTCTTTTTGTGTTGTTTGTTTTTATTCTGTTTTAAAATCCTCGATTAGTGCGGTTTCAAACAGTGCATGATGTTGGCTGAACTGATTATCCAGTGTTTTAGGTTATCTTTACATTGTAGACAAGATATATATTTCTAAAACTAGCAATACTATAATTGCAACACTCGCATGATGATACTAATTTCGTTTTTTGGCATGGTATGAGAATCCAGCAGCAACATCTAAATCACTGCAGGAAAATTTAGACAAGCTACAGAAAATATTTAGGCATGTGTTTCGACTGAATGCTTACCTGGAAAGACCACATTCAGGCAAAAAGGAAACAATTATAAATAAGAATTACTATTAGTTATTAGGACAACGCTTGTAATTATCAGTGGACAATAAACTAGCCAGCAAATCGAAAATATACATTATTAAATATATATTATTTTTTTTGGCTATTGCTTTACAGCAGCAAAATAACTAATTTGTTTAAGCGTATTAAACCACTAGATATAGCATATACATTTAATTAAATGTTTATTAATGTTAATGGTCATATTAGCAATGTCGTGTATATCGATATTCGCATATCGAGCAAAATAAATTGTAACAAAAATACTCGCATAACTAGTGACGATGAGAAGAGAAGTCCCGAATTGTGCGCCTGCTACATTGTTTTCCAAACGTGTATTCAGACATATGTGTGATTTTATTTTTGTGAAAAAAACCCTTGCAAAATATTCCGGAAGAAAAAGCCGCTAGAAGACAGCCATAAGAGAATAAGAAAAAAAGAATTAAAAATAAATAGATATATATCATATATATGAAAAAAATAATTGAAACAATTCAAATTCGCATTTCAGGTTGTTTTATTCAGTGTCCGAAAAATTGATTTAATATAATTTGTATATAATAACTGAATTACTATAATCTTAAAATATTTTGCCATTGGAACAAATTTCTTTCGGTCAAAATTCTTTTGAACAATTTTCCTGAAACCGTTTACTCTGCGATAGAAGAAAAGATGAATATGATTCACGCTACTTAATAATGTATGGAGCTAATTTGTTTCAAGTTTTCAAATATTATATGAGAGATATTTGAATGGAATTGCATGTACTAATTTCATACATTTTATAAGCATATTTATAAATAATTTATATGCTGTAAATGTATCAATTTTCCATTTTCTATCGTATTTACCATTAGTTTATAACATGTCATGCACGTTCGTGTTTCTGGTGAGAGCAGAACTAATTGTAACATATGTTATGTTCCACGTAGGGTTCTATCCACCCTCGTTGCAACTGTTCCCTTTTCTTTAGTGAGTGCGTGGGGGTGTTAATATTGGAGGGGTAACATTAAAATGCTATTATCACACATTTAAGATACACTTGATACCGCAAAATAAATAACCTTTTTGTATACATTTAGGTTTCGCAAATTTTGTGCATTCTTATATATTTTTTATAATATTTTTTGTACAATTTAATATTATAAAAAAAATGTATTCAATATTTTATTTTACTTGATCAACATTTGAATATGTTCAGGAAAATTACATTCTTAAACACATATATCTAATACATATCAGAAACAATTTGATTATAAACGATAAATCTTGAAAATAATAGATACCAAATTAAATATTTTTTGTTTAAATGAAAATTGAAAAATATAATAATTTTCTTAGCATTTGTTTATTTCTGCTTTTTGTAAATTATTTTTTAAGATATGTGTGAAAAACGTTGGTAGAACATGATATAAGGATGTATTTATTGGCTCTCCTTTCACATATTTGTGAAATTTGATTACAAATGAGAATTATATTTTTTTGACAACTTAGGAAATGTAAAGAAGCGGTGACAGTTCCCAGTATCAAACTATTATTTCGTAATAAGAAGTCAACTAATAAGAAATCAACATTTGTTGATTATAATGAACTGACACAGAATTAAGAGATTATATAAGAACTAAAGGCTGTAAACAGTTAATAGATATTTGCACAAATTACAAAAGCAATTATTACGTCCTATTACTAGCACCAAAATTTTTTTAATTAAAGTTTTCTCAACATTTAATTTACATTATATTTTAATTAAAAAAATTTGATAAGAACATAGTTACTAGACTAACATTAATTATTTTGTATATTATAGTATTTAGTAAATTTAACAGTTTTCATGCATATTAATTTAAAAATATTAATGAAAAATATATAAAACAATATCACCATTATTTAACGATATTAGATCGATAAAATCACATTAAAAATCCTTATATAATATAAAAATTAATCCTTTTTTACCAAGTAATTTTGAGATTTTAGATAATACATATTTCACTGAAGGAACGAAGATTGATAAGGCTAAATAAACATATTATTTACTTTTAATTCATAAACGATCGTCTTCTTCTTTAGTCAGTAGCACCTCTGTTATGTATGCTGCTACAATATTCCAGCTCTGCACTCTTCAGCATTTTGATGACAAAATTTTCCGGCTCTAGCAAGATTCCCAATTTTGCCTCTACCTCGTGTTTCCTTCTAAGCTATCTGTAACACTTGTGGTATTAGACGTCGAGTCCAGGATCCTTTCTCCGACCTGTGCCATTTTTCTTGCCATTTGGGTCTCTCTGCCTGGATAATCTAAAAGAATTAAAAAAAAACATTATTTTGGCAAATAAATTAGTTTATGGTTTGAGGCTCGAATATATTTATTTCTTCTAAATTACAGGACCAGTAGAGTTAGTAGATTCTGCAAGTCTCCACGGATGCAGAGATTTTCTGCATATAACAAGTGTATAAACCGTAATTTGTCTGAAATAACTATAAACGAATATTCTACATGCAATATTTGTTTATTTGTTCATTTTTCGGTAATTTTTTTACTATACACTTCTTTTTTACATTCTTAACTCAATACGAGTGTAGAATATCACTTTTATGATATAGTAAAATCTGTTAAATTAGATCTCTATATTATAATCTAGATAATTCAGACGTTCAAAAATATTAGCCAAATCTTCAAGTGTTCAAATTTGCAATAAGTTTGGAAGAGCTGAGATGTATAGCTTAAGGAGTCTAATTAAAAACTTTTCTCGCAATGATCTATAATAATATTGTTTATTGCAAAGTTACAATACAAGTAAAAAATATATTATCAGTAAACATAATTTAAAAAATAATCAATAATACGAACATTGCAATGAACTAATAATCATACGCGAAGAGAAAAATAGAATACACCCAACCAACACCCAGTGATGATCCTAAATCATACACACCTCCATAAAAAACGCAGCACTCCTCAGAGAGCCCAAAAACAACAATTGTTTTCATATTAAATATAATGGAATGTAAACCCATCGCCTTTTGCGATTTGGAATATCATAGAGAACCCATTTTGTGTCTATCTTACAGATATATATTTAAAGTAACAAGTAATTAAAAAAATATGCATAAAATACTGCTGCAGTGATTTTCAAACGGTGTGCCATTCAAAGACAATTATTTTCCCAATACATAATATTGGTGGACGCGATTTTTTATTTTTTTTATCATTACATTATTCTTATATTCGATACAAATTTCGAAAGAAATTACCGCCGAGTTACTACTGAAATTTGAAATAAAAACATTTATTTTTTAACTGGTTTTATTTCCGTTTTCTTTAAACGTAAATACTAAGTTGGGCCCATTTCGTGGTTTCGATGTACAGTGGAACCGCGCTTATCGAGCGCATAACGAGCATCACAAATTGTAAAACCTCCCATAACGAGCTTTTCGCCGAACAAGCAAAATAAATTGTACGAAAAATGACTCTCAATATGGAACGCATTATCGTATATTACATTAGTGTATATAATTGTTTCACTATACGAGTAACAATCCGGAAATTCTGGAACAGATTATGCTCGTTAAGCGAGGTTCCCCTGAATATGAAATATTTAAAAAAATCGCGAGTGACATTTCGCATAGCGAGTGACGAAGAGAATTCCCGGATTTTGCACGTGCCACATCATATTCCAAACTTGTGTTCGGACATATTGATTATAATTTTTTTCAAAGTTTAACAACCCTTGCAAAAATGTCCCCGAAAAAAAAAGGCCGCAAGATGACTGTCTCATAAGAGGATAAAAAAAGAATTAGGTATTTATAATAAATATAATAATTAACTAATTATTACGATTTTCTTCACATTGAATTCCACGTTAGTTCATTATTCAATAGAAAAAAATGATTCATGCTCCTTAACAATATAAATATATATATAATTTTCTTTTAATAAACATTATACATATTTTCTCTTCAGGAACGAGAGTTTTGGATTACCCGTAAAATTCTGGAAAAAATTATACTCGTTACGCGAGGTACTATAAATATTTGTCACAACCTCTTGATACTATTGAGGAATATGTGAATTAGCTGAATGATAAGAAATAAACTGCCATTGTTGATATTGTGAATTAAAAGAAAATATCAGTTCGATGTGTGTTTACCGCACGCGGTCTAGATTCTCTGCGCACGGAGGGTGTTTGTGTCCCTGTCGATAATACGGCTCGGGGGTGGTTGGTTTCCGGAATTAAAATCGATGACAGCTAGCTATTGGTTGTCTGGAGGGTCGTTGCGACATCGTCGAGGGCGGAGCCGACACAATTACAAACGCCCCCAACTGAAAATCATCATCAGCCTTTCACTGCAGCCGTATTATCTCAGTATTATCGAATCAGACAAACGGGTCGCGTGCCTCTCGTTACCACACACGTGCACCCCCGACACGTGTATGCAACACACCGAAGAACAACAAAATCAAAGGTTGCACGTGTCTCACAATGTTCTAATCCGGACCGAAGATGTTTAGCATGGAAAATATCGATTTGGATATTGTCAACAGGCAGTTCTTTTTCGAGACAGGATCGTTTCTGGGTAACAGCAACGGAAATAGTGGAGGAGGATCAACGACAGGATCTACGAACAGTGGTGATTTGTTCTTGTACGATGAGAATAGCAGCGATTCAATAGGCTCCAGCTATTCCTACAACAGTGATCAAGAAAACAGCTCCAGTTCCAAAGAGTAAGTGATGAATGTGCGACGAAAAGCAACGTAAATTAATCGTATTTGGTAGTAATCGAATTCACAGATATCGGAGACGTAACAAATGCCCTCAACAACAAATTCAGCAGCGGCAAGCGGCAAACTTGAGGGAGAGGAAGAGGATGCAGAGCATTAACGACGCATTCGAAGGGTTAAGAGCACACATTCCGACGCTTCCGTACGAGAAGCGACTTTCAAAAGTGGACACCTTGAAATTGGCCATCGGCTACATTAACTTCCTCAGCGAACTAGTGAGAAGTGATCGGAACTCAAATACGGACTGCTTTAACGGGATCAATCGAAATCTGCAGAGGGATGAACCCAAGAAGATCATACTCAGAGGTACGTTCTCGAACTCGAATTTCTTCTTCCCTATTATTTCAGCTGCAATTGGAAAAAAATCCAACAAACCAAGGGGTTGCTTCAAATAAACACGTGCTAATAACTTCTAATGGGGGGCCAACACACAATTTGCCCTTGCTCTTCCTACTTTAAGCAGGTGCTCACTTTATTGTTATTATTTACTTTCAACCCCCATTCAATATAAAATATAGAAATCATAGTTCCCCTTCCGCTCTCAATATTCTCTCTCTCAATACAAACAAAACAGTAGTAGTTCTTTATCGATATTTAATAATTTATATACCAGAAAAATATTTTCTTAATACATTACATTAAATTACTTATTACATTACAAATTTTAAATTCATACAATAATATTTATAAAAACTCTATATTTTGATACAGTTATTTCGGTTTAAGTAAAATAATACATAACGGTTGATAACCTTGGTAAACAGAATATATATTGTATATATATTTTCATGTTTTTAATATAATTATATTTTTAATATACACAAAACATAGATATTGATAAAAAGGAGAAATATGAATTGCTCGCTTAAAAAGATGTATAATTTCCATAATTTCAAACACTTAATTAAAAATCAATACAAGTTTGACTTACAAAGATAATTATACCATGCAAAGATAATTATTTTCAATGAAACCCAATACATAATATTGGTGGACGCGATTTTTTTAATTTTTTTATCATTACATTATTCTTATATTCGATACAAATTTCGAAACAAATTACCGCCGAGTTACTACTGAAATTTTAAATAAAAAAAAATATTTTTTAACTGGTTTATATCCGTTTTCTTTAAACGTAAATACTAAGTTGGTCCTATTTCGTGGTTTCGACATACAGTGGAACCTTGCTTAAAGATTAATTCGCATAACAAGCATCACAAATTGTAAAAAATACATTGTACAATAGAACCTCGCTTAACGAGCACCTCCCATAACGAGCTTTTCGTCGAACGAGCAAAATAAATTGTAAGAAAAATGACTCTCAAAACGGAACGCATTATCGTATATTACATTAGTGTATATAGGGAAAATTGTTTCACAATACGAGTAACAATCTGAAACAGATTATGCTCGTTAAGCGAGTTTCCACTGTATATGATATATTAAAAAAAATCGCGAGTGACATTTCGCATAGCGAGTGACGAGGAGAATTCCCGGATTTTGCAACTGCCACATCATATTCCAAACTTGTGTTCAGACATATTGATTATAATTTTTTTTTCAAAGTTTATCAACCCTTGCAAAAATGTTCCCGAAAAAAAGCCGTAAAATGACTGTCTCATAAGAGGATAAAATAAGAGAAGAATTAGGTTTTTATCATAAATATAATAATTAACTAATTATTTCGATTTTCTTCACATTGAATTCAACGTTAGTTTATTTTGTAATAGAAGAAAATGATTCATGCTCCTTAACAATTTATATATATATATATATATATATATATATAATTTTCTTTTAATAAATATTATACATATTTCTGGATTTCTCTTCAGGAACGCATTATCATATTTGACATTAATATATATGGGAAAAAAATATATCGCTTAACGAGGGTTTTGCGTTACCCGAAAAATTCTGGAAAAAATTATACTCGTTACGCGAGGTACTATAAATATTTGTCACAATCTCCTGATACTATTGAGGAATATGTGAATTAGCTGAATATTAAGAAATGAACTGCCATTGTTGATATTATGAATTATAAGAAAATATCAGTTCGATGTGTCTATATTTTGATACAATTATCTCGGTTTAAGTAAAATAATACATAACGGTTGATAACCTTGGTAAACAGAATATTGTATATATATTTTCATGTTTTTAATATAATTATATTTTTATTATACACAAAACATAGATATTGATAAAAAGGAGAAATATGAATTGCTCGCTTAAAAAGATGTATAATTTCCATAATTTCAAACAATTAATTAAAAATCAATACAAGTTTGACTTTATTTAGTGAAATAAAAAAAATAGCCAACATATTACAATAATATAAATTGCGATATATAAGAACTAAAACATATTATTCGTTTATTTTAATAGGAAAAAAAATATGAATAAAGCAAATTATACGTTTTAATTATAATTGAGATAATTAACTTACATAGTAAATGTATCAATTTATTAAGTAATTTCAATAAATAGTTAATTATGTTTATTAGTAAATTAAAATTTAATTATTATTTATTTAAAAATTTGTAATGTCCTTATTCTCGGCCAAAGTGCCATCTATTTATTTAGTAATTTGCTTCTTGTCAATTTCAAGTACGATGATATTTAAATGTAGTATTGAAATGTCATTTCTTTTTCTGTTGTATACTTGATGGAGTATATCGAAACGCGTAATACCCATATTATCTGGGCTCGTAATCGCCGTTATCTCAGTGGTATATTACAAAAAGCTCTTCATTATGCTGGGGCAATAAACAGCAATATAATGCATTTAATGATCGGCGTGAAGTGGGTGCAGATAGCGCGTACACAATGTAATAATAGACACCGCATTTAAGATTGATTACACACTGGGCATATGTAAAGGGTCCTAAGGGGCAGGCGTTCGTTCGAGTGGTAGATTTCATCCCCTGTCCATGACCATGTCCCTCTGTTCCTGTCGCATTCGTTATGCAATGCAGCTGGAGCCGATCCGGTATGTTATGCGTGTCATTCCCAATCTCAATCAAATATTCATTTTGCAGGAAGCGGAGGAAGCTACACGGCACATTCACTCTCGTGGTCCAGGGACAAGGAACCCAATCCGAATGGAATAATGTTTGCCAAAGTTTGGACTCCCGAGGATCCGAGGTCCGGCAAGAACTGTTCAGGAAGTCAACCCAGCAATTCACCATCTGTCACATTCACCTTGCAAGATTAAATTCCGTACCAGTGATAAACGCTATATAACAAGTCTAGTCGACGCCGAACTCTTTTCATTTGTCAATTATTCTAGTCAAATTTATTTATTGTATGTATACTGTAAGTGTTAATTGTCGCAGATAACCATTAAGGTTATAACGAGTTTCAGCAATGATATCGGTACTTAAATTTACAAATAAATAATGCCGAAGTAACAATTTGCTGTCAAATTAGTTCGGAGTAAAAGTGTAAATACATTTATAATTATTTATTTATTATTGCTATTATTTTTTGGTGCATTATTTGATTAACTTTGAATATGTGATATTTTCTTTAATAAATTTGTTGAATCTTTGTACATAAATTCTAATAAATACAATAAAATTATAATACATTTAGTGGACAAAGCAAATGAAAAATTGTACATTATTACTCAGTGTAAATAATGTATAGCTTGAGGGGATTTGGGTTGGGATGAGGACTTTGAGCGTGGGTGGTGGGATGCGTGCAAGTGTTCGCATTCCCACGCATCCCGTGCCGACGTCTGAAAATACAGCGTCGCGACGTGGCGTCGGTTGTATGCGAAGGGCGCATCCCATTGGTTGCACTTGTTCAGGTTCCCAGCGAATATCCGCGTCGGATATCGAACCGAAAATGTACGCCATGCGACGTAGAAACAACAAAATTGAATATTTCTCTCATTACGAATAAACTTGAATAACCTTTTAACAATTTTTTTTTCTTCATCACCATTTCACCAAGGTCACCTTTCTGGAAAATTATCTCATCTGTTTTTTCACTTTGCAAAAAAGCTTTTCATTTGTTTACTTTTAGTTTCATAGATATTTATAAAATTAGTTATACTACTAAGCGAGAGGTCGGCAACTTTTTTGTAGAGAATAGCCTTTTTTAAGATTATCTTTGTTGAACACATATTTAGGGAACCATGAGTAACTGGACTGACCGACCGATAGTACAAATAGATTTTTTTTAGAACAAAAATACCCCTATAATAAGTGTTCATCAAATTCTTTCTAAAAATTACGATTCTTTTTGGTGAAACTTCCATTTTTTTGCTACGACTTATGTTAGTGATTTTCAACCGTACTTCGTAATTTCTATCTATACTATCGCCTATCATTTATTTCGTTTTAAGACATTGAATTTATATAAATAATTACATCTGGTCAACTGTTAGATCGATCTTGGTACGACCAGCATCCTATAATTAATTACACTAAATATAAATATAACGCAAAAAATCAATACAAAATTTAGAAGTGTGTTAATTCATATTGTAGTTTTAGCAAAATTCATAAATAATACTTTTATTACTTTTTTTGCCACAACACTCATTTGACGTAGAGCCCAAGAATGAACGATGGCTTTTTTGTTTATAATTTACATTTATTTTGTTTTATCTTACAACAAGCAAAAAAATACAAAATAAAAATATAAATTGACAAACTCATATTGTAGTTCTTCGTAAATCCACGTTAATATTCTTTTATATTTTGTTATTAGAACTTTTTTCAAAATTCTTAAATAAAAATATCATGCAAAATCTTAAGTATTAACAAAAATTTGACTGATGGATTCTTAATTTCTAAAGCCAATGTTTTTCTTCACGAAAAATTGTTGTTGATATGAGATTGATAACGTTTTAATCAAATGCATGAAAACATAGTCCGGCTTCACTATAGTACATTTTGTACTCATCTTCTATTATTTTTTTATTTTACATTTCCGGATATTATATACATACATATTTCCGGATTTTTACTCGTATAGTGAAACACGTTTTTCCATATAAACTAAAATTACGATAATGCGTTACTTGTCAGAAAAAAAATGTATAACTTGGTACACAAGTTTTAAAAATGATGTAGAAGGCGCGCAATCCGGGACTTCTCTTCTCATCGTCACTCGTTATGCGAAACGTCGCTCGTTAAGCGAGTCATTTTTCTTACAATTAATTTTGCTTGTTAAGCGAAATGCTCATTATGCTGTACATTAATAACATAACAACGGGCATAAAGACTTATGGTCAATAGCCCTTTGTATCAGTTGACGTTTTTGGAAATTATATATATTTATTTTGTTCTTTTTATTTGTGTATATGTTTTTTTTTGTACGACTGATGCAATAAACATTATTATTAACATAACAAATATGTATTGTACAAAACAATATATATACAAAGAGTTTTAGACCTCACTCATTGCCTCTATTTATTAATTATTATAGCAGTATTTTTCAAACTTTTTGGCAGCACACTTTAATAGTTTCAGGTTTCGAATAGCCTTTACGAACGAAATAACTTCTATAACAGAAAATATTTCTTGAGTATTTTCTTATATTTATAATATATTCATTAAAATTGTACACGTATTATAGATAATAAAATAAAATAGCAGACAATGGTTGTAGACGCGAGCTTTAGCGATTTTCGATATAAATCTACATCCCTCCCAGTTGCATGCACTTGTTTTAAAATAATCCCTCGGCGACCCCTCGGTTCGAATAAGTAAATAAACCGAAATTGAAAAGGAATTGTTATCTGGACGATGATATCGTCCTTTATTACTCAAGCGAGTGTATCCCCGAAATACGATTAAACTTTATATTTTTCCAACTACATTATAATATCATTTAGTTGTTGTTTGCATTATATGAAGTGAAAGGGAAGCAGGAGAGGACTGCAAGCGATGAACGAGTTTTAGTTTTATTTAAATCCCCCTCTTCAAACCTAGGCGTGAAAACTTGAATGGGGCTTATTTAATGCAACCCTAAATCCGCCCGAAGGGATGATGAGAGGGCCGCACACACTTCCCCTCCGGATTCTCTATTAATTTATATAAACTACAGATAAATTGGGGCACACAGCTGGACGCCGCACCGCAAACATACAAATAAATTAAAAAAAAAACTTTAATAATTACTTAATCATTTCTCTTCATAATTAATAGGCAATTGAGGATCGATATAAAAATAAAATCTTTAATACTATATTATTTAAATGACAAATACGGTATATTACCAATGTGCATGCCTATATATTTGCAGTTGAATTCCATATTCGGAGAAGAATATTTGTGGCGTCCACCCAATACTATTATAATGGTTATTGTTAATAGAGAAAAAAAATACAAACTATGTATTTTGATACATTCGGAATTTAAAAATAAATAACAACATCGAAATGACAATAATAACATTAATTAAGAATTAAATTTGTATCAATTTATAATACATTGTTTTGAATATCTTTTCAATTTTGCAATTGTCGCACAAAATTTTAAGTTTAGTGGTCCGCGAAGTCCAAAAGGTTGGTGACCGCTGCTTTAATGTGTTAACTTGAATTTCACAATCATCAATTAAATATTATTAACTAAAAACTTTTGAAGATTGCGACATTTTTTAACTAGGAGAATTATTTAATCGATCTCAAAAAGAAATGAAGTTAAATGCACCTGATTGTACATTGCAAAATGTCAGTGTTACCCATAATTTATTTCAGATAAATTAATCTGCTTTTACTAAATCTATTGTCTGAAAATGGTATAGTTTTAATTCTCAGAATGACTGAAACTTTGCAAATATCTTACATGTAAATCTGAAATATTCAATCTAAGCACTCAGTTAATTTACATAATTCGTTTTATTTTACTCGGAATGTTGATCCCTGTTGACTTTCATTGGAAATCGACAAATGTTACTTGATTATGTAACAATACATATTTAATTATATCTTAGTGGTCAAATAGTTTGTATCGATGTTAGCTGTTGCCAAGAAGCTACACACTCTTCTGAATTTTTCGAATCTATTTCTTACATTAGCCCTATATATTTTCATTCTCCTTCGGCTGGATTATCTGTATAATTGTTTTGTTTCAAAAGTTGCTATCTTCACGTAACATTATAGTTTTCTTAACTGAATTTGAAGTTGTTCCCTTTTCGCTTGTATGTGATGTTTCTAGGTCAATCTACGTTTTACTCAGCTGCACTCCCAAATATTTATATATGTTAGCCTCCCGTTATTTTCCCTTGAGGACAGCAAATTTCTAAATTGGAGTTTCACGCATAGTTTCTCGAACACATTTTATATAGCTTACCTATCTTAGATATTAATATCATTTGGATATTTTTTCATTGATAATATGCAGATATTAAAAGTCAAAATCACACTTTTCATTTCAAAAAATTTTGTATTAATTGAAATTATACAAATAAACTCACATATAATAAGTCTCGTTGCCACCGATATTGTCTAAGGGTTATTACAAGCGTAGAGTGAGAGTTGGTAACCCAAATGACCCCTCAGTTTCGTTTATTAATAATTCACCGCCGATAAATATAGTTTCGTTTCCGGTGCAAAGGTGGACTCGAGGGTGAGCGGTTGCAGTTCGCCCTTAAATTATTAATCGCACCCACCGGACAGTCATTCAAGGGCGCACTTTATGACTAACATAAATCATGAGGAACCATGAACATTTTACAATGCACGGTGAGTGCATTAATTTTCTTTTTTCCATCGTTAAGTATATTTATCGCGACTTCCAGCTGTGCTTCAAATAAATTAAAAAAATAATATTTTATTAGAAAAGTGTTAAATAGATTATAAAAAAAAATATAATAAGTAAATAAAAAACGTAAACACATTAAAATTATTAAAATCCAATCTCAAGATGATCTGTATAAATCTTATTTTACCGGTGGAAATCTAAATCCCGACAACCAAAATCCTGACTGTGTTAAAATCCCGACTATATCAAAATCCCGACTGTTTCAAAATTCCGACAGTATCTTTTATTTTTAAAATTTCTACAATAACATTTTTAAATTATACTATATTTTTATACTTGAAAATAAAATAATATTTTTATTCAAAAAATAAACAAATCTCATCTTTAAGGACGGTTGATGAAGAATTGATCATTTATAACAATGTTGAAGGAAAAATATCCTGAGATAAGCGAAATAAATCCACCAAACTGTTTTTCTTTTATTTAGTTATTTAGAAAATTTACTTAATGGTAAAAAGTTTAACTCATTAGTTGACGTCAAAAAACAACACATGTAAATGTAGATTTATACAATAATCATAATTAATAGCGCAATATTCCACATCGATTAATAAAGATCTGTAATGTATAAAATAATATATTTTAACATGCATAGGTACTTTGTAGGTATACTTTGTAAGCAGAGAATAGAACCGAAATTAATTTCGTTCCGGTTTACGGTTACTATCCAAGTAAATGTTTTTCGTTCCAGATTCGATTTCGGTTCGTCTAAAAACTTCGGTTCAAGTTGAAGTTAAAATTTAAAATCGAAAAAAAAACAATTTAAATTGGTTAGTTAAAATTTAAAATCGAGTCCAATATTAAATTTTGATTTAATTTTATTTACCAAATTCCCTTACTATTGTTTTCAATTATAAAATTGAAAATACAAAAAAAATAAACCTTAATTAGTGACTATTTCAACACATGTACTTTGTAATGTTTCTTCTGACATGTTTACAGTAATATCCTTTTTAATCACTTCATTTGAGTGTGTTCTGTTAGTTGGGCAAGACTTGTGCTTGCCCTTTCTTCTTCAAATTTTCTTTTTTTAGTCGGTGATTGATTGGTGGTGATTGAGGCTTTATTTATATTGATGATTAAGCGTTCCTACGAATTCGGCCTTGATGGTTTTGTTTATTATATATTTTTTTATTTAAAAAAAATCGGAGTATTTAAAGAGACTTCATCGATGTCTCTATACATTGTTAGTTTATATAGTCTATTCTCAATATACCGACCAAAACACTAGCACCGGCACACTATCATCAAAGAGCGTACATGAAAGAAAACTATTATGAATTAATTTAATGAAAAAAAAAATTGAACCGAAATTAACCGTAATAAAAATTTCGTTCTTTTGCAATTTTACAGTTACGGTATAGTTAAAAATTCCGGTTAATTTCGGTTTACGGTTCGACTCTCTGTAAGACAAGAAATCCAATACACAGTAAAATTAATATAGACTGGTTCTATTTGCTGATTATCTTGTACTACGTTAAATATACGGAATTGGAAACAATTGGAGTATTTCCTACTACCTCCAAACTTCGAACACCAAGCAAGTTTAGAAATTCGAAAGAAAAACTTGAAAATATATGTACTATACATTCTAGGAAATTTTCTAGAAATAAATCAAAACAGATATCATTGAAATACAAGGAAAATTAATAAAAACATCTCGTATATTTGTTTACTACAAATTTATATTACAAAAAAGATAAGAAACTTAAGTGATCGTCTGCATATTTTACACTGCATTCAACGTGAAAAACACACCATTCGCCTTTAAAGGAATTTATCTCAAAAGAAAGAAATAAGTATTATAAACATATATTAAACATAATTTCATTATATTTTTTTTTTTCATTTTCAGTTCATTTATTTATTATAAAAGTACAAAAAATCCCAAAAATATATATATTTATTTATACTATATACTTTTGTCTTGTTTTTAATCTGTGTGATTTTTTGCCATCTGGTGTTACCATTTTATATTAGCTAAACCTATGAGACTATTTTATTTACATGTTTGCAGTATTGTTTTTTTTATTGTTTTGTAATATAAAAAGGTGTTGTTATATATTTTTAATTTTCTTACTTTTTTATTTAATAATTCTTAACCGCATTTTGTTTAAATAAAAATGATTAAAGAAGTGAAATAGCACCTTAAATTTAATATAGATTTTTTTTGTTTCTAAAGAATCTTAAATTACTTATGAAATAACGAAATAATGAAAATAAACGAAAAAAAGAAATAGTGATTTGAAAGGAAATGCTTTTGTTATTTACAATAGAATAAAATAGTTATGGCTCCTGCATTTACTGGCTAAAACTAAGTTTAGTTTGGTTAAATCGAACACATACTGCATATTCAATTAACATTATATTGTTTTTTCTCTTTAAATTAATTAACAGTTCAATTGTGCTAAACGTAATAATTATATAATAAAAACGATTCAATCAAACTGTTAACATTTCAATAAGCTATTTAATATGAACAGAATCTAAAAATTCCCTGAGATCAAAAACCTATACACTATTTTTTCTTTAATTATTTTATTCGCATGTTGAGAAGACATGGTGCCTTCTCCCTTTCATTTATCTCATTTCTTTCACATATTCACAAATATACAATTTTCCTTATAAACAAAATAAAAATTTGTACTAAAGAAAAAAAACATAAGAAACTTTACATTGTCATTAACAAATTAAGAAATAATTAGTTCAATTGTATCTATTTTTTAATATTTTTTGTACTCCAATCAAACATAAATTTAAAACAGCAAATTAACTTAAAATTACATTAAATTACGCTCAATATTTTAATTTGGTTTTTAAAAAATATCACCATATAGATGTACGAAATGTTCTTCGTATTAAAAATCACCCAGCATATATCATCAATACTTAACGAGTTTCATTGCAACAAAATAATGAATGGTATTGATAATATTGCCAAAGAAATGATTATATGAAGGCCTAAATACAACTTAAATAAAATTACAAAACTAAATTATTTACATAGGATATTTAACACAACTTTGTCCTTACTTGCATTATCTTATTTATCAAGTCTTAAATTTGTTTGTACTGTTTTTCTCATTTTCATACATATTTCTCTTGAATTTTAAATAATAGGACTAGTATGTTCTCTCAACGTTATTTGGCAAAGCGCGGGCGCACTTTTTCGATGCTGAGAACCAGATCCTCTTCCTCCACCATTTCCAAATAGTTTCAGCTTGGTGGCCTGTTTGTTGCGTTAGTGCTACTGGTGCTTCCGTTTCCATTATTGCTACTGGTGTTATGGTGATTACTGTTTTGTGGTTGCTCAGATTCCCTTCTTATGACAATCTGCAATATAGTTCATACAAATGTTTTCTTAACACGCACACATACACTATTAATGTTATGCACTGAAGTCCTCTATTACTGATTGATGAAAGGTAAGGGTTTATTCATCTGTACATCTAAATGTGAAACGAAAAAATGAAAAGAAAAAAAAACTTTGGTAAATAAGAAAATAAAATATAAATAAATAATATTTTAAAACAGAGCCAAATGAAAGCAACAGAAGTAGTTAAAACAGAAAGAAAAGCAACAAGCGTAAATTAAACACATGGAAGAACGTGGTTAATTTGTACCTGTTGCTGTTGATTGTTCGAATTGGGAGCGGCAGCCTGAGAGTAGTGAGAGTAGGCGGAGCCTGCTCCGCCGCCTCGTGAGGCGGCTCGAACGGTCGTGTCCGACGTCGAGCCTTGTCGTATGTTGTTGTAATTTGAAGATTGTCTATAAACAATCTCAGCATTGTTTTAATATATATATAAAAAAGATAATTAGCATAGGTTAGTTTACCTGATGTTTGGAGTCGAAGATTGCGACTGCGAACTTCCCGCAGGACTTCGATGGGGATGGGGCGGATAACCCTGATCTGAAATTCCGTTTTCCATGGGGCCACTACCATAACTACCGCCGGAGTTCCGTCCTCGCGAGGTGTCGGCGTGGGTAGAGGCCACTGCAGGGTGTATGTTATTCACGGTATGCGGATGAGATGTTTGTGGGGCGGCAGGTGGTCCGGTCAGTGGTATGGCGAGACGCGCGTTGACGGCCAGCAGATGATCCCTACGCTGTAATAGGGAACTGACATGCTCTTCCAACCTTAAATTTTCAGCTCTTAATTGATGTAAACAAGAAAGTAAGGAAGCAATATCAAAATGTTGAGCTTGTTCCATTAGGAATTGGGACCCTTGTTCCCACTGGCGCTCTAAAAGTTGGTCTAAAGTTTGTGGAATAGCGCCACCATTACCACTGAGCATCGACGATAACCCGCTGCCGCCGCTTGCGGTGCTCGATCCACCTGTACTACTCGACCTCGCCTAAAGCAAAAATTACAAAACGGTTTTTTACATGTAAAACAATAAACTTACATTCGCAATGACCCTGTGGTGAAGTTGCGGACCGATCAAATTTGAATTGTTGTTCTCGCTGGAGTAAATTGAGTGCGCCTCCAGTTCCGAGTTGAGGTGATCCGTCATTTTCTGAGCCATATTCGAGTTCAGGTTCAGTTGATTACCTAACATATGGGGTGCATTAACGCCGTTTTGGAATAATTTTATATTATCTTTAGTATCTTTACTGCTAGAGCCGGAGACTGAAGCAGGCGCACTCTTCCGTCCCTTCTTCCGGCCCACGCTCGGCGGCGCACCCAAACTTTCCGAGCTCGGCGAACTCGGCGGGGATTCTTTAATCTGCGTCGGCAGTTGCTGCGGCTGCTGGGCCGGAGGTTGCTGTTGCTGCTGTTGCAAAGTCCCCGCAAAACTCGTCGGCGCCGACGTCGTTGCCACTGCTGCTGCCGCTGAGGAAAGCATCGCTGCTGCTGCCTGTGTCGGTGGTGGTGGCGGAGGCGGCGTGTTGTGCTGACTTCTACTCGACCTCTTCGTTAAAGAAGACGCCGGCAAACCGCTTAAAGAATTAACAACACCGTTTGAACTTTTCTTCTTAGCCCGCGTATGTTTTTCTATTTTATCGGTCGATTGTGACCTTCAATGAAAAAAAATATCAGTAATGTAAACTTTACACGATAAATGGTCTAACTTACCGCGATCTTTTAATGGGCACGTCAACACTTTGATTGGCCATAACGTCTTCAAGTTCTACCTGAAGAACCGGCGGAGTTGTTAAACTCGATTGTTTTTCAAATGAAATTTTCAGAGGACCACCGCTCATATCAGACGTGATCATATTTTCTTCTGTTGCTGGATTAGAAACGTCGCTGGTTACTAGACTTGTTCTAGTATTGGTTGAAATATCTTCTGGTGGATTGGCAGTTGATGGTATGGACGTTGGTTTAATTGGTTGTGATTGATTACTGTGAGATCTAGGACTCAGTTGCGTATTTTGCAATGGAACTGACACCACAACAGAATTAATGGACTGATGGGTGGTTGTGGATTGAATAATTGATTGCTGATATTGGTTAGTGGCTACAGCTGGGGATGTGGCAGAAATGGTATCTGTTGTAGGTGTGAGGACTGTTGGCGGTGAAACAACGGTGGCAGTACTAGACGGTAGTGATGAGGCGGAATGTGGTGAACTTGATTCAGTTTTCGCCTAGAATTCATTAATTTAAATGCTGATGCGGATTAACAAAATATTGTTTATCTTAATTCAATTACCTTTTTAGCCTTGTCTTCACCTACTTCTTTTTTAATGGCAGTGTTATCAGCTATTGCACTATTGCTGGCTTCATTCACAATATTTGGGGTTGGGGTTCTAGAATTTGCTTTGCGTTTCTTGCTTTTAGAATCCTTACTAGTTTCAATATGTGTTTGTATGTCTATTTCCAATTTCTTTGTAACTTCATTTGCAGTATTGTCAGTTGCACTTACACTATCATCACTTATAACACTTTTGGCACTATTAATGCTGTTATTACTGTTCTTAATATTAGAATTGTTTTTGCTTGCAGCTTTATCAGAATTCCCTTTTTGATTTGCTACAGACTTTTGGTAGTAACCAGCACTCACTGATGATTTTACATTTGCATTGCTCACTTTCGAACTAACAGTCTTACTGTTTGAAGATGAGGACGATTTACGTTTTCCCAATGAAGTACTATTACTGCCTAATTTTGAATCTTGCTCTTTCTCAGAACTAGAATCCGATTGAGGATTCTCTGAAGACACGGGCTTGTATGGCGGAATAGTCTTCACATTCCCTCCTTTTTTCTATAAGAAGAAATTCAATTATTCTCTCTTGTCTTTGTCGAGAACATTTAATAGTTTACCAATTTTCCGTAATGGTGTTGGCAATATCCGCAATATTTCACGTTGTCAAGAAAGTTTCCAGCTTCCTCGCATAAGAGCCCTAAGCTCTGGGCACAAGTGACATGGAACTGTTGTTTACAGCCGGATTTGTTACACTGCATGCAGGCACCGATGCTAGCATTAGACGGCTTCCCGTTTTCTTCGCAAATATAACAGACTTTAGTGAATCTCTCCTGGGGTATCAACTGCAATTGAATCGGTTCCATAGTAGTTACATTCCCAAACCGGACCTCCGGGATATACAAAGCACAAACGACGTGAGCCCATCCTGAGTTGTCCGTTCGCTTCAGAGCACCGTATTTGCTCGGACACAATTCGCATTTCTAAAAAGAACACCACAAACAGTAGAAACAAAACTATATACTTTTTATTTCATTATCGCCGGGGAGGGCAAAAATAAGACTCACTACTTTCACGGATCTCTCCTGACTCTCGCATTTACGGCAATACCATGGACCAGTCGGCACAGTCACTATACCATAACAAGCTGTAAAAAAGTGCCAGGAGTTAGTAGTATTTTTCTCTTCCCTTCCCTCTTTCCTTCATGAAATATGACAATACGCGCAAGTTCTTATGTGGAAGGGATCACGTGCGAAACTAAGGTATAAGAAAGGAAAATGGTTGAAGAATGGACCAAATCTGCAACCCAGGTGCGCAAAGATCAGAGGGGAAAACTAGAGGTAGTTTATTTTAGTAGCAATATAAAAAGGAGGGTCATTAAAATACTTTTTACCTGTGAGCCATAGTGGCACTTCATTTTACTGAACGGTGAACAAAACACGATTTTCAATTTTATACAGAGTATACAACAAATTTTACCAAAAAACAAGTATTCAGAGAAAAAAATACGGAAAAAATATATGTAAACAGTTACAAATACTTAAACCATATACTAATAAAAACATTTATATTTTTTTTATTAGTTTATGATTTTATATATTATTTTATTATAGGTACACATATATTTTATTATTATTTTTAGTGACACTATTTCACTTCCACATTTCTGAACAAATGATTTAAACTTCTTAGAAGAAAAGACTCAATATACAAATCTCAAAATTTAAACAAAATACTTATTATTTTTTATCATTAACACGCAACGTGATTTTATAATTACAAGTTAGAAATTCTCATATATATCTTTCTAATTTTAAGAAAGCTGGTATTAAGTCACATCATTTATAAACGCGCACAATCTTATTGAAAATATTTTATTTAAAATTTATATAGGGAATTAGTTTAGCGCAATTTAGTGACGTATTAATTAATAATAATTAATTCATACGTTGAAACAAAAAAATGTTTTAAAAGTTATCTTAACAAAAGTTAACATTATATAAATTGAATTTAAAACTTTTCTAGACTAAAAAATACTGGAATAGTGTCAACAGAATATAAAACTAATTTGTTATTCATTCATTATTCACATTTTAATTTATTAATTTTTAAAATTAAAATAAAATTTTCTTTTGTTGATTGATTTTAGTTTTCAATTGATAGATTCTTATAAAAGCTATGAAAATTGCTAACCTTAAATTGGTGCAACATAACCCAAGAAGTATTATATATGTATTCATCCAATAGGAAAAAGAAGCGTTGACATGGAAATGCGATAAACGATAAAGTGCCAATTACCTTGGTGCACTGCAACTGTGCAAGATTGTCCATCGCAATATACTAAGGGGTTTTCGGGCCAGCCTCTGTCATCAGAACACACGCAACAGCCTCCTACCATCTCCTTCATAATGCGGCCAAACGACGGTTTGCTAAACTAGCGAGCTGCGTTTTCCCCAAAAGTTGATCATAAAAAGGTTCACCGGCAGCCGCCTCCGAAGCCGTGCCGATGACATCTTATTTCTGTTGCAGCCTCCTCTGGCTTCCACTGCCACCAAAACTATCAAGAGGTGCACGACTTCATGCTACCCCACGGCAAGCGCGAAGCGCTCATAACCTCGGCCAACTGCAACAAACCACAGATCGAGAATGATAAAAGAGGTATAACAATCGCTGGAACCATTCTGTTTTCCGGTCTCGTTTATTTGTGTTCAATTCTTTTGGCAATGTTATTGTTGGTGAGCGTCGTTTTGTTTTGATTCGCACCACACACACTCGTACACATGCACACGCACATACTCGCACGCATATCCATACATATATACATACACTCACTCAAACACGTACTGAACTGCACACATCACTGTTCATTCCAGAACCAAAATTACCTGAAACTTAGCATTCGTCCATCCGGCGACGTCCTCCGATGCAGAACAAAAAAAAATCCGGCACAAAACTCCCGAATTCCCTCCAATTTCCCCCATAAAAACACATTCATAATCTAAATGGAAACCATTTTGTTTTTCTTCTAATATTTTGCTCCTCGCTGAGCGTCACTTGCGCATGCTCTCCTCACCATATGCAACCATATTTTCAATAACAATACTGTCGTCATCTTACGTCATGTATTATTATCAATGATAGCTCTTAGACATTGTACAAAATATCATCTTATTCTAAATAAACGTTGATTTTTTAAAATATGTTGTATTATATTTCGGTATTTACGGTCTCGATAATATGTATATTATTGAGCGCTTTTTCCCTCTTAATTACTAATTAATTATAAATTTTAGAAATACATATTTATTTTATAAAATAATGATAAGATTTCAGAAAACAAGAGTAAATTTTATTCGGTCTCACCATCGCTATTTAAAACAAACAACCTTTTCTTTTTTATTGTCATTAACTCATCTTCATCGCTTGGAATATTTAGAAGTTCTACTTCATTATTAATGTAATTTTTTCCGGATGATTTTTTATTTATAAAACCGCGTCAATTCAGGGACGCCTGTACCTATTTTTATTAGTTTTTTTTTTTTTCAAATATTCGAATCTAGAGCTACTACATTGTTTGCTATGTTTAGCTCTTTTTGCACAATATGAATGTAGAATGCAGATCGGATGCAAAGATATATATCTTTTTATTGACAATATTATTGTTTACATGTTTCCATTTCCACTAGGTTATAAAAGAAGCGTAAAAACAACGTCAAACATAGGGCGGCCGTAGCCGTGTGGCTATGGTCGCCTGTGTTGGAGTTCACCCCTGAGCAGTGGAGCAGAGCGGACGTGTTTCTCTCACCCCCGAGCTAAACATACTTAAGTGCCCGGTCTCAACCGAACGCACAATTTAAAAAAGGTTATCACGTACTCATGGATGTGAAATAGTTTTCTAAGTGAAAAACAATTAAATTGCAGACTACCGTTCAAATGTCTCAAATGTGCTGGAGCGCACGAAACGCACACGTGCACCAAATCCCGCGATATACTCGCAACATGTGCAAACTGCGGGGGACCACACCCGGCCAACAATATGGAATGTCCAAAATGCATTGCCAAAATGTATCTGCAGACAACGATTCGTGGAAGAACGTCGGCGACCGGAACAGGCCACAAAAGGATGGCATACAAAGAAGGGTTTTTCACAGCTTTTCCCTCTAATATAGAAATAGTTGTATATATAACCATAGTTTAAAATTTTTAATCTTAAGTATCCTAAACACTTCAAATGTAAATAATTGCTTCAGCAATTATCTTTATTGCATTATTAAAAGTGTAAGATATATAAACTGATGCAAACCCATAACAATTATGTTGAAAGATTTGTAATAAGATAAATGCTTGTACCCTTGCAAATTTGTAAAAGGGTCAATAATTATGTTTGTGAATAAATTTATTTTTGAATTTGCCTGTATCACGAAAATCTGATACGAAAGGTCACTGGTTCAATTCCGAAAAATCAACAAAAATTTGTGGTGGCTCTTAAACCTGAAAGGGGTAGATATAGGACCAGAGAGATTTATATCAACGTCAAACATCTTACAATAGAATGAATATAATAAACCAATAATATTATTGGAAAAATAAAGCCATTTACTTTAATATTAAACTTCGTTTAATTTTTTTATATATCTTTAATGATCTAAATAATTCAATATTATGCTTTTTAATAATTATAATCTGCTCTCAAATCTTCAATATTATCTTGCTATTCTTGTTCCCTTCTCTTAATCCGTGATTCTCTGACACATTTAGTATCATTCAGTAAAGTGGACACAACTGTATAATTCAAATCAGTTTGCAAACTCCTTTCTAAACTATTTATCACAATATTTGGTAAGGACAAACTTCAAATTGCTGGGTATAATTTCAATTAAATTTTCCTTAAAATGTGCCTGCTCTTCAGTTCCCAAATAAATATATTCTACAAGGGTTCTTAATTATTTAAAGACCATTTGTGAGTCAAAGGTTTGGTATGTTTTCCTGTGATTAAGTAATTATTTCCCAATAGGCGCATGGACTTCTTTGGAACACTGCCCCCATTCTTCTATACTTGCAATTACTGTAATCCCAGAAGCAACAAGAAACTTGTTGAGAGAGTTGTTAATAATTCCTTGGCCATTGTTCTAAAACATCTATATGACTATAATAATTGGTATGTTGGCAGGTTGTGAATGTATAATAAAAGTGAAAAAAAAAATTGGTAAGAAGTCCAGTATATTAACTGATACCACGTTGCTATATTTCATGCTATATACCAGGGGTTGCCAAACTGCGGCTCTTCAAGAATCTTGTGGCTAGTTGACAACAAAACACAAATATTATATATATTTTATATTATGATTGAGATTTTTTTAAAATTATACCAAAAAGTTTAGGTGCGGCTCTTGCTGCAAAAAGACTGGCCATCCCTGCTCTATACCATGCCATCTTAAAAATGTGTCGCAATCGACTTGTTTTTATAGCCTAATTGTGAGAGGGGCAATGACATCCAAGAAAATATTGAGATCGGTTGTTACATCCATAAAAATATGTGCGAGGTGACTGACCGATTGTAACGACGTAACCTACGTAAGAAATAACATAATTATTTAGTATAGACATCGCGATCGATTTGTTGGACACCCCTGCTATATACAATGAGGCGACTAGTGGCGGCTAAATATTGAAGAAAATCCGAATTAACGTTGTATTTTGTAAGATAAATGTTACATGAAATTGTAGTATTGAAAAAGAAAATTGTTTTTAAATATTTATTATTTTTACATATTTATCTTGTCCTCACCTCAATCAAATAAATTTTATTTACATTTCGTTCACAAAATAAAATTTCTTATTCTACTCTATATAAAAAATATTTTTTTTTTAAATAATAAAAATAAAATTGTTTAAGTTCTCTGCAGAATCAAGTTCACTGATATATTTTTATAATTGTTATTTTTGTGAAATAATAACTTAAATAATATTAGCAAATTCACATCTCTTCATCTTTATGTATATACCTATTTATATACATATATAAATTATATGTGTGTGTTATATATTTATATGTATATATATATATATATATATATTTAATGGACCATGCTGGGATTAGGCGATCCCAAATTGTCGATATCTCTTTGGGCCCTTGAAATTTTACTCTTGTCCTTGGGAGTTTCTTGTTCTCCCGTTTCCATTGCAAACATCTTCATCTTCTCTTTGAATGTGAGTTTTTCAGGTATGGGTGCTGGAGTCTTCAATTGGGCCTGCTCTGCCAAACGACGTGTTCTTGGATCTTTATACACTTCCTGAGCCCCAATAACACCGGGCGTCGCTGTACTTAAACTGGACATATTTTCATTAGGCATCGTCGGTGATGCCAACATTGATTCGGCTTGCTGTATGAACAGCTAAAAAAGAAGAACTAGTATTAATACAAATATAAAAAATAAACATTTCTATTTACGTTTGGATCTTCTCTGCGTTCCTCCAAGTCTAAAGTATCTGGTGGTGATTGTTGTTGGAACGGTTGTGGCTGCTGCACTTGTTGGTGTTGTATCTGCTGCTGCTGTATTTGTTGATGCGTCATCTGCTGGGACGGATCATTAAATGAAACCCGCTTAGTTCCTTCTTTGTTTCTCATCGACATTACAGCATAGCTGCATCCACGTTCAGGCGGGGGCGGCGCTTCAGCAATTTCTTTTTGTAAGACAACACCTCCCTTTAATATAGATAATGGCGGTGCCTCCATTTTGCCTACCGAATGAGAAATTGTCGGTGATCCCTTTTCCGTATCTTCATCATCATTTTCAGATGTCTCTTGGGCCCTTCTTTGGAATTCTCTTTCGAACTGAAGAACGCGCAGCTGTTCCTCCTGTTGTACAGTTCGTTGAGATATTGAACTCAGGTCTTTGATCTGCTGCTCTTGCCATTGTCTGCTCAATTCTCTTCTATATTGTTCTTGTCGCTCCTGTTCTTCTCTTATCCACGGATCCCGAGCTTGCTTGGTATTAGGAATACTTTGATTCGGCATGTAGCTCAATTTTGGAGGCTCTTGCGCACTTGCTAAGTATAATGGATGAGTTGTAGTAGGCGGTAGTTCAGGTGGTTGCTCGTCTGCTTTTTTCAGAGGCTTTGGTGCTACAGGTGGATATTTTGGATAGTTATTGTAGATGGCCGGTGAACTGCTATAATTTATGTGTAGATTTTGTAAACTTTTCGTGCTTTGTGCCAAATGATTCTCCGTATTATGGTGTTTATTCACTAACTGCTGGCGCCTTCTAACCTCTTCTCCCATTTCCGCGAGTTTCGCCTGTCCTCTGAAATTATTATTCACAACTTTTTCAGGTTCGCCCACCCATTCAGGCATTCTAATATTTCCGCTACTGGCGTAACGGATTCCATCTTCAGGAACAACATTCTTATAATAATCCTCTTGATTTCTTTTGAAACCTTGATCATTCGGGTAATGGGCATAATCCTGTTGTACCACAGGCTGCTGTTTCATGTGATGATAATTCATTTCACTATTACGTGGAATGTAGTTCGGTATATTTCCATAATGTTTGTTGTTCATCTCCTCTTGTTCATGTTGTTGGTAAGCTTGTGGTGGGTATTGACTTACATTCGGATAAGAATTTGATCCGTCGTTATGTATTCTTTGCGGATTTATTTGGTTCTTTAGGTTTGGCACAGATTGATGCAAAGCCCGAGAGTTGGTTGTCGTATTTGAATAACAGGCAGAAATTGGCCTTTGGTGTTGCTGCTGCTGCTGATGTTGTTGCTGTTGCTGCTGTTGATGTTGCTGCTGTTGAATTGTATTGGATTGAAGAGAATTCTGAGAACTTCTTAATACAGAAGATCTAATAAATGAAACCAATTAAAATATAAATAAAACTTTTATATATATGTTTATGCTATATTACCTGTCATCTAATTGTTGCGGAATTTTGTTTCTATAAACACTGAGATTTTGATAGAAACTAGAATCTTGTTGATGATGCAAATTGTGCGTCGATCTGCTTCTGACTCCCTGCGGCCCAGGAGGAGCTTGAGCGGCGGACGTTGTGTTGATACTATTGTTAGAAGAAGTTCGGCTATAACCCGGATTGAATATATCGTGAGCTATTGGTCTAGATTCCATTCCAGGTGATAAATGATGTAAAGCAGGAACCGATTTCGAGGACAAAATCGTCCTCTCCATGTCAATTTTTGATGGCAAGTCTCTTTCGGACATCCGTCTAGGACCTACAGAAGAACAAACATTTTAGAAAAAAATATAGAAAATAAAAATGAAATCCATATAATGTATAAATCATAAGTGGTGCGTATATAAACAAAAAATTGCAAAAAAGAAATTTGCAAAATAAAATCTCACGGCCAACTTGTGTCACATGTCCTGCATCCTTCCAATAAAAATATTTTGTAAATATCGGACAATCGTCTGTTGCTAGGCAACAGCACTTCCTCACAGTAAAATTTGGTCCAAAATGGTTATTGTTATTATTATAACCTAATTCATCGGTGCTACTATAAATTGGTGCAGTGGTAGAATCGTTGGTCCCTAAGGTAGATTCATAGTTGAATATGCAATTTGAAAATTTACATTTGTGCATAAAATCGTCTTCGATTTTTTTCTTGTTAACATTTTCTTCAGAAAAAGATTTATTCAATTCATCTGTGTGCTCTAAACTAACGTCCAGATTAGGCATCGAGTAATACATTTCTTTGGAGGCGTCGAAACTCTGCGCATCCCAATCACAAAGAAGTTTAATTATCTCCAATCTTTCATTTTCAGTTAGTTTGACTGTTTCCTCACTTCGTGATCTACTCTCCTTTTTGTTTTTCTCATTCAACTCTGGATAACTACGCACAATCGATAGATTCGATTGGGTTGGATGTAGTTCTTTGCCTGAAGGTGATCTCCAACATCTGTCTTTACACTCATTTTTGCTTAAATCAATATTGGAGTTGTAGGTAAGGCTGCTGAGAGTCGACGTGGAACTAGATATATCTTGAAGAGATTTAGAAAATGGTTGTATTTTCAATAAGTTTGATGTTTGTTCTTCATCCAGCGAAAAGCTCTTTGGTAAATGTGGTTTGTCTTCAGAGTAATCTGTCACTTCAAGTGTGAACTGCGGTGGAATCGTTATATGATTCACATCTTGAATTTCAATGCGCGGAATTTCCGCTAAACGTTTGACCTCGCTTCTGTATAAACTATCATCGGAATTGAAAAACACGAAGTTCTTCGGCGGTGGCGAGATGTTTTGCCGCAAATAAAGCGAGGATGCGCGATCCAAAGCAGCTTGCAACAGAAACATTTTGTGTGGAACGAGCGGTAAAACTAGCGCCTAAACGAATATGTCATTACTAAATAAATTTACCTCTATGTGGAGTCGGACTGGGCTGTTGTAACAATGTTGCTAATCCGTGATAGACAGCCCCACCTTTAGCAACTTCTAAAGTCACTATACTTCTTGTTCGAACCAAAAACTCGGCTGCCTTTTCTTGCGTTATACCCAACAAAGAGTGACCATCGACAGAGAGTAGTTGATCGCCGGCTGCCAGTCTTCCATCTCTATCGGCTGCACCACCGGGCACCACGGATTTTATGTAAATACCTAAACGCTCTTGGCCTGCCCCTTTCGCGGCTACTATTGATAGTCCCATACCACCTCCAGCTTTATGCAACTTTATTATTTGAACCTAAAACAGAAACATTAATATTGTAATCACAAAAGCAAATATATATTCGATTACAACCTCAGGTTGAGATGAGCTCATCGCGGATGCGGGTCTTTGAGGTGACATGTAGACAGTCCAGTGGCCAGAGCTAGTCGGTTGGGCAGCTAAGCGGCACAAACCTGATGCTTGCAGTGGTAGCAAAAAGTCAGCAAGTCCAGTAGGAACACCTTGAACGACATCGCAACTAAAACCATCTTCCGGCAATAACAACTGAAGAGGCGGAGCAGGATCCTCATGTAATCTCACTTCCTTGCCTTCCGCTCTCGCCAACTCGTCAGCAACTCCTTCAGATGCTCTGGCTGCTTGTTCTAACAACTGCGGAGAAGCAATTTGTTCGCCATTTTCGCCTGTAAATTATATATGTTATAAAGAAAATTTCATTAAAAAAAGTACTTACATTTATATTGGGTCAACAAAGCTCGCAACTGTAAAGAATTTAATTTGAAGTATGTTGAAGATATTTTAGCTAAATCATCGGCAGTCATTTTTGGTCCCTGTAGAAGATGGACACATTGCACGATTTTAGCCAAATGGCATTCGGCTGCCAATTCAAGACCCTGAGATTCAGCCCAAATTTGCAGATTCCTTAGTCTGTTAAACAGGGTAGATCCGAAATTGCGAGTACACAAATGAGGATTATTAACGACAATTGAAAGCGATTTCGCCGCAATCCAGTGGAATAGTTGAGAGAACAGTTGAATTGTTAATGCAGCATTCACCCGACATTTACGCAGCAGGTTCATTGCCATACTCAAAACGTTGATCATTCCGCTTGGATGATCATCCGGAATGATGGACATGAAGTTAGGCATTATAGTGTTGAGGTCATCTGTGAAACAAGCGACCAAATTCTTGAAAGAGAGTTGCACTGAATCAGCGAGGATGTCCTGAGACTGCAGCGAAAACGCGCTAACGTGCCGATCGGACTTCAGGAAGTGAAGCAATTCGCTTGCGTTCGCCAACCAGAAGGCTTGAGAACTATTTTCGGTGCTTCGATCCTGCACTGTATGCCTTACGAGCATTGCGGCATGTTGGAGAAGAAGTGTTAGTTTATGAGCCCGTTCGGTGGGCGTCAACTCTGGACGGTAATGAGTGGAGGCCCGGTACCTCGCGCAAAGATACAATGTATAAGCAGGAGCTAATCGGAATGTGGGCGTGTTGACGTCCAAATGGGTGATCACTCTTGCTAGGAATTGTTCTTGTGGTTCCTCGGGGAATTCAAGAACTGCCGGAAGGATTGGATCCTGTCCCCGTGAATACCTTTCAATTCCGCTGAAAATTCATTGAATTAGCATTTGAAAATGATCTACAAAATTTGGCACATCGAAAGCTGAAGCAGTATATAAGTAAAAACAAACTACCTGGTGCTGTTTTCGCGATTAGCTGGAGCCTCGTAATTTGACTTATCGTCTCTGGAACCGCTTGCTGTGGAAATTGTTTCCACATTGCCTTCTAAATCGAAAGTAGTTTCGAAATTGTCGCGACTATCAGTGGGGCTCATAGCGTGCGGGGACCTTAATTTGTATAGGGATCAAGCAACATACAACATCAATAAGCAAAACGAATATTAAATACACAATTTTTGGAAATTAATAAAATGACAAACAAAAAATACTAAATGCTAATAAGAACTGCCTCTTGCATGTGCATTTTGAGTAAACAATGGTCTGAGTTCGAAATAATTACCGTTCGTATCTTGAATTATCGCCAACAGAAGTCCTGCGCGGCGTATTTTCTTCCTGACTAGGATCCATGAACCTATAAGTATTGCTATTTCCGAATTTGATCAAGTTGCCATGATTTAAGATTGTGGTCTGATGAATTCGCTGGCCGTTGACGTATGTATGGGCGTCCGCATGGCATGGAGTTAGGGATGTCAAACCATCGGTGTTCGCAATGACACAATGTCTGGGCTGTATATGTGGTCCATACAATTGCAAAGCAATCCCATTCGCTGAACCCACCTGAAATGAAAGTTTTAAAACTGGACATTAAGACCATAAAGACAATTTACCTCCATGACTTCATTCATCAATCGCAACGTTCTGGAGGTGTCTCCGGGATGTGGAGGTGAGCCGTCTGGGCCTAGCTCAACTAACAGTGGTATACTCTCGATCCTCTGGTCCCTTATGTTTATGTTGTTGGTCCCCATTGCGCCCGGTTTCTTCTTTCGTTTACGCGGGGCACAATCCGCTGGTCTCCGTCTCACGTGAAACATTATGGAACCTTCGCAGAGTGAAGGACATTTAATTTAAAAAGACAGATAAAAAGTAAACAAATTGTATGGAAAGCGCAGAAGCACTACGGACTCAAATTACGTGGGCGGGAAAGAGTCCCAAAGGGACAAAATCATTATTTTCTTACTTTTATTTTTGTTTTCGAAATGCCTGCACCACAAATATAATTAATTATTTGTTGACCTTTCATTATCAAGTGTAATTACAAGAGTGAAGAATGTCATGATGATCTATATTGTTTAAGTTCTAAATAATATATCATGAATGAAAGGCTGATTTTTAATTAAATTTATTTTCAATGTTGTTATATTGTTAAATTGAAATATATTTGGTTCATTAATTGAAATGCCTAATAAATACTTCCTCGCGTAGTTTCTTAATTAAACACCTTAATTAATAATTCTTAATTTAAAATAAATATTACACGTTGATGCCAAAATCATCAAATATTTATGAAATATGTACTTATTGCGATTCGCTATTATTTACCTAACAGGATTTCGCATTTTCCACCACTTCTTAGTCTCTTCAAAGACCGAAAGCCCAGCATTTTCGAGCGCGCAGATACTAGGTTTTCACTATGAACTGTTTGAAAGGCTATTTTTCCTACGAAATATTTAATAAACCGCAATGCGCGTACGTCACTGGCCCGGTGTTTCGATATATTGAACAGATGATGGAAATTTCACTTTTTTATGACTAAAATATGTTTGTGTGTGTATGTATGATGTGGTGTTTGGAAAAGCTGGAACACGAGAGCATGCTCATTCCCACGGCACGGACAAACTGGACGTAAATAATACACATAACATATATATCGAGGACCTCGCGGCTTTAGACGAAGACCGATCGATTATCTAACAAATAATCCAATGGGAAAACGCCAAAACCAGACAGAGATGGGACGAATACACAAACAGCACAGCATTTACATTCATAATGTAATGAAACAATTGCAGATAATATAATTGATTTATATAATATTCTATATTTATAAGATTTGACCCAATTTACCAACATATTATGTATATTCCTTGTTTCGCAACGAACTTGTGCGTTATACAGACATAGTTTACCAGTTTATTAGTTATATTTTTCTATTCCATAGTTATATTTAGAAATTTCTGTTATAATTACCATATTTATAGAATTGGAAATATGTAGTCATAATACGTTTTGCTGGACTCAAAATGTTGTTTTTTAACTTTTTTTTTTAATTTAATTCTACTCAATATTTATGGCTAAATATAAATATAATACTGGCTTATAATGTTTTACAGTTAACCAAAGTTGTAACAACTCGGAAATTACAGAATATCACTTAAATAAAACATAGACAATGTAATCGAAATGCATTAAATGTCTCATATCAAGTAATTTGTAGTCGATAACCAACATGAAGATAAAAATCTCAAAAAAAATATCTTACAAATACATTACATTTAGTAATTAAACTTCCCACACATACATTATTAAAATACTATCGAAAGAATATCACGTGAAAGAATTCTTGTTATTATTCATTAGGATAAACTAAATTATGTAAGTAAATAAAGTTGATATTGTTAGTAATATGAAAGTTTATGTTAATAATAAGCACTATTTATATTTTAATTTAAATAGATACCCTAAAATGTACCATACATGCGACCTAAATACACCAAGCTAAGAAAACATTATGTGAACTAATTTAGAACCCTATCGTATAGCAGCACATCGTAATGATGCCACCGTTCAATATTAATAGAACGGATATTTCCTCTTTATATTTGTTGCGTAATTTCAATTATCGTCTTCCCGGCATGCATTTTTAATAGGTTTAGTTTCGTTGTTACAGTGCACATGTATGCACCAATCATTTGTTTGTATATGTTTTTAACTCGTCATGGAAACGGTGCGAGGATGCATTAATAATATCGAAACTGGTGCCAAGAAAATTTGCAGCGACTAAGGGAGGCACTGCGTCGAACTTAAATGGAAATCTATACTGGCGTTATTAGATTAACAACACTTATTAAGCCCGAAGGGGGTTGGACGGATTACGTAATCGGGTTTTGTTAGTTTGTTGTTTTTTTGTGTTCTTTGTGTGGTTTCTTTGTAAACCTTTTTTGAATACCTAATCGAGCGCTACATCAAAAGCAGCAAAAATTACGCTTATTTTCTATTTTCGGTGACACGGAAAACGCAGAAGTTTGCCTCAAAGACCTTGAAACACTTATCGATTTCTCCCCCGGCCGAGTTTCTATCCATTGCTGTGTATATGTGTGTTGTATACGTACACGCCAATGCATATTGTTGCCCAAAAAGTCTCATCGTAAAAGAGTAAATTGGTTGTGAACAATACGTACGTCTGATACCCCAGTCCAACATTTCAATGTTCCATCTGCGTTCTTCGAATGATGCCCAACTTATCCCCGATCCCTCTGCAGGAGGAAATCATCGGATGAAATCCGCATCGACTGTATACATCGCACATACTATTATACTTCAATTCGTTCTCATTGCCGAAAATTACATTTCCATTTTTCATCACTTTCGTTTATTTATTTTGTTGGTTGCAGCTTGTCTCTAGAGCTTTGCTCAAATTGATTTCTCCCAAATGGAAGTCGGATGGCACCCCAGTTTTTGTGTGATTGCCAGACAGAGAGCATGAAATATATCAGTCAATCTATGAACCAAACGCATGCGCCTCCTGAATCTTATTATTATTAGTGGCGAAAATCACAAACGATTTGTTGATGCAGACAATTCCAATGGATATATAAATTACAAAATATAATTAAATCAAAGAGTCAAACCGAAACCGAACCGAAATTAACCGGAATTTTTAACTGAACCGTAACGGTAACTGGAACGAAAAATTGCTCAATTGAGAAACCTATACCGGAAATTTTAATTACGGTTAAATTATTATTTTTTTTCATTAAATTAATTCATAATCTGTATGATCTTTGATGGTAGTGTGACATTAAAACAAACTCAAATGAAAGTGATTAAAAAGGTTTATTTCTTTTGAATTTTCAATTTTATAATTGAAAACAATAGTAAAGAAATTTTGTAAATAAAATTAAATCAAAATTTGAATTTGGACTTGATTTTAAATTTCAACCGGAACTGAATAGAAAGTTTTCGACGAACCAAAATCGAATCTGGAACGATATTTACTTGGAACGTAACCGTAAACCGAAACGAAATTAATTTCGGTTCAACTCTCTGAATTAAAAGCACCATCCATTTCCAGATTTAGTTTGTATCTTGAGTAGAGCCACAGAAAATTTCAAGTAATCCGTTCTGGGCAATTCCTAATTTGCAAACTACGTAAAAAAATAACCTTCACTTCAAATAAATATGTAAATAATGCAGTTTGCCATCACGCAAGACAATAATATTATTGATTTGCAAATAGTATAATAAGTAGTATTCTAAATTAGTAGCAAAAACAAATGAATTTTACATGCATCCTCGCATTTCAGATTTTAATCGCTTCAAACAAATGGATTAACAATGCAATTATAATTAGATTTATGTATTTCTGTTCTACAATACAGACTATCGATATTGAGGCAATTGTCAATCGTGAACTAATTAAGTGAATGTTATGATAGAATACCATATATATACAAACAATGTACAACAACATTACATACATTTCTAAAATAAAACAAGATCACCTACGAATTCGTTTCTGTTTACGTTCTTTGCAGTAATTTCAACTTACAGGCGTGTGTTGTGGCAGAAATGGAATACGAACAAAGTACATACATGAATTAATAAAAAAACAACTCGTGTTCAGTGAGCATTGTTTTTTAGAAATTAGTGACAATTATATTTGATTCTAATATTAGTATAAGTTAATGCTGGATTATAACTTGAATTATAAAGTTGAAACAAATATAATTTAAATTGAAAATAAGATGAGAATACAGTGGAATCTCGCTTAACGAGCAAAATGAATTGTAAGAAAAATGACTCGCTTAACGAGCGACGTTTCGCATAACAAGTGACGATGATAAGTCCCGAATTTCACGCCTGCTACATCATTTTTCAAACTTGTGTACACTTGTGTACATTATGTGTATTTTTGAATATGTTTAACTATACGAGTATTTCAATATACGAGTAAAAATCCGGAAATTTTGGAAGGGATTAAACTCGTTAAGCGAGGTTCTACTGTACTACTTTTAAATATATTCAAACATAGTTGACGGACCACGTCCATTTATATTTAAATAAAACTTACCACGTTTATGGTAAGTATTTTTTATATAGATAATAATATGTATTACAACAATAAAAATACGTCTTTCTATAGATATTATTATTAATAATATTTTAAATATTATAAATATCAACATTTTAATGAGACTAGTATTATTAATGAGGAAATAAAATTAAATAAAAGCTGTATTCAAAATATTATTTGTGTTCGATGGGTAGCCTATACCATAATGCATTTGTATTCTATCAAGGATGAAAACCAGTTTAGAGTCCGAGAGAAACCGTTATATTATACATAACATTGAATCGTACATTGTATTTTATCTATAAACAGAACTCAATACATATAGCATTGGACCGAACATTTTTAACCCTAACAAAAAATACAAATATTCCCAACCACCAAAAGTCCTCGTGTATATTATACATTCAACACAACATCTAATCAAATATTCGAAAGTGGGACGATAGTAATTAATACGTTATATTATAGAAATATATATTATAACGTATACTGTAGTGCAATTACAATAGATAAAGTATCTAGCAAGAGATTCAATGTTTATCGGACACGGAGATTTTTAAAATATTAATTATATTACCACCACAGAATTGTACGATCTACTGGAGTCTCAAAACTAAACACATTCACTCAATGCAGAGAAGTGAAAGACGACGAGGGCCTGTTTTTGTTGGATACAGAGAAAACGCATAATACCAATAGCATTATTTAAAGAAAAATAAATCATTAAAATAATAATAAAAGTCATTCAATAATTTATAAATGTATTTTGTAAGTATGAACCTAAGTATTTACCATTTAAATTTAATTATATTTCTTTTTAAAATGAAGTAATGTGTTTGCATGTGTAGCCAAAGTTATTAAAACTAAAAAGATGTAATTTGTCCATTAATCGTGTTAATAAGTAAATTATATTAGGACAGAAAGTCCTATGGTAAGTAGCCCTTTGGAGCAGATCAATTTGGTTTTAATTTTCTTATTATGTTATTTTTGTGAGTTGTTAGTATGGTGATTTGTTGCAATACATGTTATTATTATATAAATTATAAATGTATCCCATCTTCATAGCATGTCTCATGTTTCTATGTAAAATATAGCTAGTTTCAAACTAATAGCATTTAATAGGTATTCCGTAACCGCCGGTTGATTTAATCTCTTTTTCCATTCCCTTATCAGCAATTATTTTAATATATTCCATAGATTAATACTGTTCAATATCTTGTAATTTGGGAAACATCGTCTACGTAATTTTAATAAACCCGCTGTTGATCAATCAAGACAAACGCACACACGTGTTTGTGTATGTGTAAAGGAGTTAGTATGAATTTTCAGAATTAATTTGAATCCGATCGTATGATAAATATATAGACTTACTAGTGTTGGGCGAGTTCATGAGTATCGATAGAGGACACTCGTCGTCGTCGAGAACGTATTCGATGTCAGTGCCACCTGGCTGCTGAGTTACCTGAACTAGGCACCAATGCAAGGGATCTAGATGATTCATACCGTACTTATCTAACATTTCCCGAACCACGGATCCAGCGCAATCTCTCACTGATAATAGCAATGTTTTATAAGGCACATCTTTGCATAATGCTTCCCCGTATATTTTCAAAGTTCCTCCTAGAAACAGGGAAAAAGGAAACGGACGGGTGTTAGCAGTCGCTTTAAATTTATAACGTATTCGGAAATAGACTATACCAGTATCGGGCCCGCCATCTTTCGACCGGAACTGTTGCAACTTTTTCTCGAGCTTCTGTTGCCGCCGTCGTCGCATAACGGCTTCCGGGTTAGAAATCGACCTCGTGAATGACGTTTCCGGCAACTCTACAAATTCAAATAATTGAAAAAGGATATTTACAGGAACCAGAAACAACGTTCGTTCTTACCTGTGTATAGTTTTTCGGCAACCCCGTCGTCGTTTTCCGCGTTCTCCTTCTTGAGACGCGACAGCTTTTCCTGCTTCTTCAACTGTTTCTTCTCCCTCTTGGAGAGTTTCCGCCGGAAGCTTGAGTTACCCTCGGATAGGCCGACTGCGCTGGACTGGAACACAAACGGAGAGTTTCGTTTTAAATTAGACGTTAATTGCGTAATCGCGCAATTCGTGCAATTACCGTTTTGTCATCGACGTTCTTGAGCAAGAATCTGCCCTCGCGGTCGTCGACATGCCAATTGAGCTGCACCAGTAGGGGTTTTTCGTCTGGAGACATCTTTCGCTCTGGGTAATGTTCGTGCAACTCGAAGAGTGCGTACGATGGTACTGAAAGCATCCTCATATCTGGCCTGAACTTCTCTATCAGAGTTCCGATCACATCTTCAACGGTCGCATCCGATGCAACTCTGATGCACTTCGTCGCCACTTTCTGTCCAGAATCTTGGAAGTAAAATCGCATCACGCCATGAAATTCTAAATCCTTGGGACAGAGAACAAAACGACAAATATTTTATAAATGTGTGTCAGACCAATTTTCCCAACGCAAATATAATGCGAATGAAGAAACTTTCACGTTTGTACGATGAGATTTTCTCTCTAAATGGAAGCGACGGAGGAACAAAAAATAACTAAAATGCACGCGAATGCAGGTCACGGTTCGCTAAACGTCCACAATATATAAATAACAAACGTACAGCAACTATTCTAGAGCTCCGTTTCAGCAGCCACTCGGCCGTGTTTCCTTTCCTTCCTTCCACGACTACGAGCAAACCCATTTCCAACCATGCAACCGACAACAAAACGGTTGACGGACGGAAGACAAGAAAAAGACAATTTCGCATAACCCAATTTATAAACTATTCTAATTAGACATGCACATAAACAATACAAAACTATTAGAACGCGATCAAACAAAAAAATATACATATTTTATCTCAAAACATTTAAAAATCAAAGCTATTTTGTAATGCATTTTTATTATATTTAATATTTTTATTAAGTTTTAATTTTTCACATAAAGTATTTAATTTTTAATTAAATTGCTTAAGTAACTGTTTTCTTGTAAACCGATAAACAAAAAGAAACAAATTAATTATGATATATTTATAGAAAAGTACATAACTAAATGAATATATAATAAATTGCGCGTGGCATTAAAACTTATTACTGTGGCATATAGTTTTAATTTTATTAGTGTATCTATTTGTGTAGAGATGGTAAAGGGTACCGACGGCAAACATTGGTTAACTGTAGCATAAGTACCCTATGAATGCCATCGGTCATTTTAAGATAAAAATATTTATCAAAAAGTATGAATACTACTGACTTTACGGTTCGTTAAGAAAGACTCAGCAAAGTAGAAATGCATTGAATTTAAGAAAAAAGTGGCATATGAATTTGCAAGTCTAGTTTTTTAAGTGAACGTATTATATTGCATACGTGTTTTTTATTAATATCTCCTTCCATCGACATAATTTGATGTGCTACATTTTGATAGAAGTAAACTTTCTATATTTTTACTTAAATATCTGAAAAATATTTGTTTTACATTAAATTACAAATAGCAGTATTTGTACAATAATATGTACTTCAATATGTAATTTGCTTATATTTAATAATTTAAAAATAATTTTGATACGCCTACACTTCTAAATGTACTATATATTAAAAATATTAACGATAATAAATATAGAGAGATAAGACGTCAGTCTTTAATATTAAATAAAAAGCGCTCACATTAAATAGTATGTTAGGTGATTTTTTTTTTTTAATTAATATACTTTGTTATAAATTTCTATAGACAATAAGCAATTATCAATATTAAAAAAAACATATCAGATACAAAATAAATAAAAAATATTTAAATGTATTCGGCAGTCAACGTAATTTAATTAAGATTCTTATATTGGTAGTTTGCAAAAAATATTATTCGACTATTAGATAATAATAACACAATTCATATCTAAATTTTAAAGATTTACTTGATGTCGATAATATTTATTCCATTATTGACCTTTAAAAATATTATTGTTATTATCCGTTATTTAAATTATCATAAATGAATAGATGCAAATAATATTATATAGACCCATTTAAGGTGTCAATAGAGCAAAATATGCCCACAAATGATCTATAAATAACTAGAAAACGTAAATGCGCTTGTTTGCTCAAAGTAAATAAAAAATAAATTGAATGAAAATTATTATAATTCGTAATGGCGAAGAAGCTTTACTTTGCATTAGTGATTAGTATTGTATATAAGAACTAATTCAAGTGATATATAAAAAATATAATATAAACTAAATATTGAATTTTACATTTATAAAAAATAATCGGATTAGTGCCATTTGTGGTACGAACTGGTACTAACATAAGGTATACCACGTGTTTTACTCAAGGTAAAAAAGGAATTCTATATAAAACATTACTAACCTAAGATAAAAAGCGTTAGATATTGTCCATTTTAAAATTAAACATACTTATATTTCATCTAAGTTGAATATTAACGTTAGAATTTAAGTAAATTACAAATTATTTAAACATTTTGTTTTCGATTAACACCTGTTGTATGATTTGTATGATAAAACGTCCTATTATTAATGATTTCATAAATACTAAATTGCTCGGTTTAAATATTACCAATGAACAAACAACAACAAATAAATAAGTACACAAATATGATGAGATAAAACTAGTTTTGAACTAGTAACAGACATGTAGCATTGCGTGACGTACCTCGTTTGGTTCTGATAATTCGAAGATGTCCAGTCGATTCGCATTCCACTGTGCAATGACATTCCTCAGAGCTTCCCTTTCCGGCGCCCTGTGGTCAACGACGCCAGACGATTGCATCTTCTTAACGACTGCAAAAAAGAAGAGGGAAACATTATTCTCACAATACACCTAACATTCTTTGTAGGGGAAAAAAGGCCGGCAGCAACAATCGATTCGGGAAGAATGAAAAGTAAAAAAGAAGGTAATTTGTGGGATTATCGTCTCGCTTTCTGGTGGTCGTCTGCGGTGCTCGAACGCGAGGGCGGAGCCGGCAATGACATAATCCAGATTTTTATTGTCGGGTCCCAAGAACGTAAAGTGCATTCCATCGGGTTTTATCAGCACCCAAAACAGGTACAAGTCAAATAACATCCGGTATGCGACAATTCGACTATTTATACACACACATACACTGCCAAGGTGCACATAGGATCTCACAAAGCACACGCATTATTATTTTCGAAGCAGAATACCAATTGTCGTTGATCACGTTGTTGGGAGGAGGATTCATTCTTATTCAGAAAGAGACAACAATGAACGCCTAATTGTTTACTTATTCACCAATTCAATTTTAAAATATTTTAAAAATGTATATTTATATGTTTTTATACATGCTTTTTTAAAAGGAATTTTTACCTGGCGTTCTCTGGACTTTGTCTTTGGTACCTGAATGGCTCTGCGAAACCATTTTATCTCCCCTTTTCTTTTCCTCTCCGTCTTAATGTGATTTCGTTTTAATTTACTTCAATTGGATTGCAATGGCAACGCGTTGCACTTGTTCACACAATATACATTTTATTTTTCCCCATGTCTTATGGTGTCCTCTGATGCCGACTTCCTTCCGATGAATGAAAACTTTTTCTAATTGAAGTTGTTGCTGTTTGTTAATACTACCACGACGACGGAAGGGGCAGACAACAAGCACTGCACAACAATAACAGGGTGGTGTATACGAAGGACTGTTGCCTGTTAATACAGAAGGGGACCGAACTAGCTCACCCTCCAACTTATTTGAAACGACTGACCGGCGACGCTTGGGTCGGTGAAAACTCAGGACTCAGGAGTCTCGCTCGTCGTACACATTTATTCGAATACAGACACACATAACATTTTACGCACTACTCTCCCTCCCACCTTCGACCATAAAACCAAATGGCTAGGAGTTTCTTGTTTCTCCGCCCAACATCCGAGACTTAACTTTCTTCTTCATCATCATCATCCACATATCAAATTAGATGAAATCTATACAGACCGTCAATTAAACAGCACATAGTCACATACCGTGCAATCATCAGTTTTGCTTAATACAAACAAATCCATAAAATTCTACATATTAATTATAAATACTTTTAATACTTAAACACGACATACTTTAATACTACTGACACCTTGGACAAGTACTTTTAGTATAAACGTATAGTTTCCTACGCTATTGAATTTCAGAAAGGAGTCACATTCTGCAATTTTCTGAATGTATGGATAATATTAGGATTGAATTAAAACTATATTATAAAAATAGTAATTATTTCATATAGAAAAATAATTAAATTATTTCCTAAGATCAAAAAAAAAATCAAATCGCCTATTTCAACGATTTTAAATCGTTCAAATAATCACATATAAGTGAAACTACATTAATTTTATCTATTTTATTCAATTTTTTTTTTCATAACTACAATCAATTTCACATTTATAACCAACAAATAAAAACATCTGTTGAAAATCAACTTTCTCAATAAGTTATTACAGAAGTCATTCTTAATATTTTAAATTAGAAAAAACATATACATATATGAGTATAGACCAGGGGGAGGGCAAATGCAGTCCTCGTGTGCGACTTCGATCAGTGTGGATTCACTATAGTACGGTTTAAAAATTTCATAACAAAATAAATTCTAAAAACAAAGTAGTACAATATTTTTATAAATATTTTTTTTTCTTCTGTACAGCTGTATTTACTTAATTAATAGTAAATAAGATGATTGAACATTGATTTTATAAACGTAATGGTGTATAATATATTCAAAAATAACCTGTAGGGCGGGACTGAAAGTAATGAAAAATGTAATTAGCATTTATATTCAATGATCAAACATATCATGTAAATATAATTTATGCAAAGAAATTAAAACCATATATGATATTTATGTCACAGTTCGAAAACTCACGTAACGTACATGTAAATAATGAGTGAATAGAATGTTCTACAAAAAGTAATTGACCCATTAATCAAATTAAAATTTTCCAAACAACTGTCGCGTGCATTGATTATCAAATTATAATTCATAGCTTGGTAACAAAACATTAATAAAAAAAATTTAACCAATTTTTATTGTTGTTAATTACTTTTACGATTTTATGAAATGGTAAAAAATATGACATATGTGTTACTTGTAGAAGGAGAACCCTTCTCCTCCTAGCCCTGAACTGAGAGCTATCAATTTCAATTCTCCATCTGACAACGTTATTGGGCCTTAAATAAGTGCATTTTTATTGTTAGTAATAACGAGAATTATGTTGTTAAGTCACGATATAACGTTGTTTCGGTCACATGTAAATATTTTCTTGATTACTACATGTTTTATGAATACCGTAAACGCGTGTTCTGTTATCTTTGATGAATGAAGTGCAATCCAACGTGTTAATTCCATTAAGTTTGTATTGTATTATCATTATTTAAAGAAAACTCATTTTTATTATATCTAATCAAGTTTATCCGTGATTCCAATTAATGTAAATAATTTAAAATTAAACAAATGGAACGTTCAACATACATTGTTATTAATCAGTGGCGGATCGCGAAACTGGTGGAGTCAGGAGTAAAAAACTTATTTATTATTTTATTTTGAAACTAGTGAAGGAAGAGATAAGTAAACTTAGCGTTAATTATCAACACCGGCTTGATATTCACCGAAACCCCCTAGCTATGGAGCTGACTAACACAGAGAACCATCGCCGAAGATTGAAGCGTTTCAAGCCCCAAGACCTACCAAATCGTTTTTAGAATAAGTAGTTCGTGAGTGCGTATCTTGATTGTGCGTTATGTTAAGGTTGGTTACTGGACCAATCCCTTGACTTTTTTTTTATTTTAATTGTCACCAGTCCAATTCATTGTCTCATGTGAAAAATTTATTTTTCAAAAAGTAAACATATTTTTTACACATCATCAATTATTATTTATATAAATATTCTGCTGATCTTTGTTTCATAATCAAACCATTCAATTTGTCGTAATACATATGAACAAATAGTACGATTAGAGCAGTCAACCAATCTTGACTTTTTTAAATGTGTTTTAAAATAATTTCAATTAATTTTAACATTTCGAAAAGCTATCAAGCATTTAATCGTAGGTAGAGCGACTTAACAATTCGGCCATTAGTCGCCCTATTACTTTTTAATATATGTTTTTATTTCATTTTTGGTTATAATATATATGATTTAAGGTACTTGAACAAATAATGACTTTTAGTTTTTCAAATAACACTTCAAATATAAAATATTTCAACACATTCAATGACACCTCTCTTCAAGTGTGAATGCTGTAAATTGTTTAGCAGTGCATACTATTTTCGGATCTGTTAAGTTAAAATTAATTGCCAGTTGATTGACGGCCGTGTGTAAAGTGATTACACAATTTCCGAAGTGCTCGTTACAGCGACTATTTCAAATTAACATGATTTATTTAACTTTAACAAATGTGAAAATGAACTTATTTTAAACATCTATAAAATAATAATGAAAGAAGATTGTTTATGTATAATGTACTTTACCGATATTTATTTATGATTTTCAAATTCAAACATTCTGATCCTACTACAATATTAGTTATTAATTATTTTAATTAATTATGTGTTGTGCAGAAACTTAATTAAAAGTTCTAAAAATATGTACATTCTTTAATGTAAATTGCTACGTTCATTAATAAACTATACAATTTTTATTTAGAATTTGTTCACAGTAATTTAAAATTAAATACAAAGTTTTATTGTAAATAAAATAGAACATCGCGCACTTGATGTTTTACAGCTTACTTTAATGATCTTAAAATGATCATAGAAACCTGATATCAAAGTTTTAACAACACGCGTATTTACACAATACACAAGGGCAAATATTGGAAAATTCGTATGTTTTTAGAACTTATATTTAATGTAAAGTTAAGTTAAACTATTTGCTTTTAACTAGTTTATAAATCATGTTTTATTTTTTGCTTAAACAAATTTACTAACGTTATATAAAGACAAATTATAGCTTCTCTTCCGAATTTGTATTCTATCGAAACACTATTTAAGCAAAATATAACTATATAGTGATTTAAACGTATTTGTTTTGTGATATTTCACTTGTAAAGAAAAGTCAATATTAATTCTTCTTTTTAGATGCTTGATTTTATAAAGTAAACATGAAGGTGTTAAATATTTTTCTTCGATAACTCTATTTAGATATTGTAGGGTTAATTTATGTTCTGGGATGCATAGTTGTACAGCACAGTCTTGTTTAATTTTTGCGCCTTAAAACCGTCCGTCTGTCTAATCTAAATGACTGTCTGGCGTAAAAGGAAAATAAACAGAAGGGGTCGAGGAATGTCAGGAATTCGTTCGGCCAATTGGGGATTGCTGAGTGAAAAAGAGGCGCGCACGTTCTGTGCGTATTGAGTTACAGACATCAACCTCGTAAATTATATTTCCATCATTTCAGGCGTAACTGACTGAATAAAAAAAACATAAATACAGGCACACAAGGAAACCCCTCTCGTGTCATGAATCGGTACACACAAATTTAATATCCGTTTCATTTTCTTTATTTTTTCTAATCATATTTATTATTTTAGTGCGATGCACCGAGCATTGAAACAAGTGTTTTGAGTGGTACGTGATCAAATTAACAAACGCTTGGCTTGCATGAATAATAAATGGTATTCAACTGTTTCCTTCATTATGTTCCGAGTTTTAGTGTACTCACTTGTTTTTTTTAAACCATTCACGAGTCGCACTTCGACACATTCACAATAAATTCTAGGGCAAGTGTGTTATTTGTGTATTATTTTTACCAGTCAGTCGATAATCCGCGACTGCCGGTGCCTGCCATCCTCTTCAAGGGATGAACTAGACCGCCCTTTCACCCTTTAAACAAAAAAAATATCTACTCTCTTTTTTTCATTTTGAATTAGCCCTTTTCTCATTTACTCTTCAGACTAGACCAGACAACAATAAGTATGCCACTTGAGACTATAATTTATTGCCCTTAAAATATATGACCCATGATGAGGAGGCCCTGAGAGTTATTTGGGTCATTTAGTAATTCGTGAAAGTACCTTACCGAGAACGTTTAACCTCATTAAAAAGAAACAAACAGCAAATACATGTATATTCGGTCTCGAATACTTATTCTTTAAACAGACTCGCTTCAACTTTCAGTTGTCATACACACAGCATTCCGTGTGTATTTATATTTGTGAATGTATTTAAACTTTTAAAACAATTAAGTCAAATACTGGAACCACCCACAGCTATAAAACATAATAATATTTGTTAAAAAAAAAACTTGTTTTTCCTGTTATTTCAAACTAAATTAAACTGTTAGTCATCAATGACACGTTTCCGCGCATTTAATCATTTTATTAACAAAATTTAGCAACAATATAAACTTCGTTAGAAAACACTATTATCGAGTCTTCATTTCAACTTGACACAATTTAATATAAAACGTTCTAAAACTTAGTTTCACATTGAGATAAGATAATAACTACTTAATAAAAAATATAGCAGCACATTAAAATATATAATAATTGTTTATATTAGAATCAAAAAAAAAACTAACAATTATTGAAATTCGAAAAATCTATATAGAAAATGTCCTCCCTCTACCAATCTATTTTTGTAATCTTATAATAGTATGAATCATAGCAATATATCGATCAGATGTAGGCTGACGAATTTGCGATGCATGTTATATAGTATAGGGGAGTAAACATATATATAGGCAGACTATGATTAATACGAATTCGAATAGTCCAAAATTAGATTTACTTGCAGCT